CTTATGATTTTCTTATTTTCTTCAATTCTTATTTCTTTTTATTTCATCTATATAACTTTAACCTTCTTTAAATTCTGCTTTCAACCAAGCCTCGAATAATCATAATTTTCAAGTTTATATTTCACAACACATTTTATGACGTCATTTCAACAATTTTAGACTTCATCATCTCAGTTCTTTTGTTCATATTCATAATTATGACTTCCACTTCATTTTGTCTTTTGTTCTTCTAATTGCACCTCTATAATTTACAACTTGCTATGTTCAGCTTTCTAAAAGCTATTATCGTCATTACCCATTTTGTCTTTCTTTAATGTCATTGTAAACTGTGTTCTACTTTATGCCATTATTAACTTTTAAATATATTGTCTGCTTCTCTTTCACACTAAATTCGTGATTTACCTTCTTCCTTATTTGTGTTTTGAATCATTCAAACCTTATCACAAGAAATTTCTTGAGTAATTATTTTTCTATATCGTAATCATTTCGATGCATCGCTTATATTTAGGTTTATTTAAATTCCTAAACCATATTGTTCCTCAATTTATTGTATTGTAATATTTTATGGTTTATTATAAATTATTTCCATTAAGGCATACCTCCTCTCCCATTGTATTAATTTTTTACACTTAATAACGTTTTCTATTTATGTACTTCCTTGTACATCTATTTTCATTTATTCTTCGTTAGTTTTTTGGTCACAACTTCACAACTTTACCTCTTTTTTTGTATCATTCACTCAATTTTTTTGTGTAATATCAACCATAAAATATACTTGTAATTACGTGTGCCGTAACACGACAGAGCTCCGTAAATCATCCTTCTATCATCATCTTTTGTACCTTCAATTTTCACCTTCATTAACTTCAACCTTCTGTTTCAAGTCATTTTCTTGTTAATTACCCATCATTTTCTTCAACATTTTTAATAATTGTATAATAAAACCGGCAATTTCACGCTTTCTCCCAATGTATTTTCATGGTACGTTACACCTCATTAAATTAACTTTTTGGATCCTTATATTGCGCATTTCATAAACCTTTTTACCTTCATACTATCTCCTTCATCGTATAAATCAAACAATTCTTAGACATCTAGTGCACCGACGTGTGCAAATCCTTACAAATCTAGTTCATATAATAAAAAAGTATAGATAAATTAACTATGTGTACTTACTTGGGAATGCATATCGCATTACGAACAAAAACAACTACCAAGTACACTCGCTCGGTACTCGAGGGGACGGTAAGCAATGTGAGACATGTACTCATCCAATCAACGGAAACAACGATATACTTATCGCGACCGGTGTAGGCTACAACACGCGTCTGAGAATCGGACACCTAAATAAATCTCAAAGTACAAAGCAGCTGAAAAAATATGCAAATATGCGAATCTTGCTAACACCCACTGCAAAATCGATTTTCAACAACTCGTGGGTGATGATCATATAGAGACAAAAAATGTATATAGAACAAACAAACAATAAACAAATTCACCTGCTATATAGAAATCTGATGATTATGTAAACACACGTTCAAAATTGATTATATATTCATAGTTTTGCGATTTATTGATACGTTCACCATCAAAATCTTTAACAAACGCCAATTTTTTTTCAAAGTTTTTTTCTGGAAAGCAGTAAAAGTTGATAAAAAAAAAATTATATATGTTATGTGAGTATTAGATAGGAATTGCTTGAAAAAGAAACACGAAATCTAAACAACAAAGTTGGCAAATATCTAGTATAAAAGTAATGTTCGTAACATTCGTGTAGATGCACTCACTATCTAAACATGATTCGTTCGTTTCGCTTATAATGTTCATTCGGTCAGATGTTAGAAAGTTCACGATTCGTTTTTGCTCTTGCTCGGTAGCAAAATGGCGGACGGATAAGCGGCGATTCGATGCGGGTCGACGAGGGCGAACACGGAAATGCGGCTCGGTCCCGTGGCGAGCGACGTGCTGCGTTTTACACATAGAACGTATTCGATCGATTTTCTCAGCGGACGGAAGGACGGCCATTCGCTGCTTCGCAACTCACAACACACATAGAGATCGACTAGAAAACTTGGGAACACGTGGATGATATATTTAAACAATACGAACTGTGGTCTGGTACACCCCGGCTTTCAACACCACCATCCTTTGCTTTGCAATAATAGGCCTATAAATATTACCATCATGATTATAAGTTTTGCTTTTACCCACATATTTGACGGGGTTGTGTCCGTGTGTCTAACGATATTCCGCATCTGCATGTGTGCGTGCATCTGATGCCCCTCAAATCATCATCGTTCTCTTTCTCTCGCCCAAAACAGTTCGCTATTTCTTTCTCTCCCTTTCTATACTCGTCTAAAAGACTGAATTGAGTTCGAACTCGCATTCTTGCTTCCGTTCCGGATCGCTCACGTTAATACCACCGTGATATTCGATACAAGCAGCGCCTACCGAGGCGCGGCCATTTTGAATTCAAGCATGTGTAAACAGTTTCTGAAATTCAAATAGCTATTGTTTGTTGCACAAAGAAGAAACGTTAAATTAACAATTCATATGATGTATAGCAAAAATAACAACAAATATATAGAAATATACGTCATTGGATTAGTAATTAATATATGCAAATAATGCCATGAAAAAAACAGATGCAATGGTTGCAGTATACGCGCTTTTGTAATATATAATTAGCACCGACCTGTATTCGTCAAACATCCGGTATATATTTTACGTTTTATTTTCGTACTTTTGGCAGAGAGTGGTCGGCCTTCGGTTGGCGTCGCGCGTACGTGGCCACAATACGCGCGACCCGAATTTGGACCTCTCGCTGGCAAAAGCCAAGATGGCCGCGTTTCGTCATCGCACTAACAGCAAGTTGACTACAGAAGAAAACTAGTTAATCGAGAATAATAAAATAGCGAGAATTGAAAAACGTTGGAAACCCAAAATCGTAAAATGTATCGAAAGATAAGTTAAAACTAAATGACTAGAAATATGTAAAATACAAATCTGTTTGTTCGTTTGCTCTTTGGTTTTACGTGTATACACGACGACGTGACGACAGCTGTTTCGATGATGGCCGCACCCAGTTCTTCTTGCTTCTTGACTACACACGCAACGACGATGAAACACTAACTGCAACGGCGCAGTTCGTCCTCGGAGCATTTATAACGCAGCGTCCCCACTCTAAAACCGAGCTTCGTGGCCGCTTGTGCGACGTTGTCGTTTTTGAGTTAGTCATGTGTACAACTTTATCTTGCCTTGTTTAACTGGTAAGGTAGACGTAAGTGTATCTCTTTTTATATGAACGTGACCGTTCTAGAAAGTGCGGAATATTCCATTGTTGCCTCGGTTACCTCGTTGTGCCTCCTGCCTGGATGTTATCGACCCAACACAACTACAAACTCGATGTAACAAGCGTCAACGTGTAGAAACGCATTCATGTTCAATATTGTGTCAAGCTGATATGAGTAAATGTTTGTTGGATGACGTAGAACGCTAACACGTTGCATATTGACTGCTAAAATATAATAAAATAAAATAAATACTAAATCGTAGTCTACTTTTTTAATTTCAGTAATATAATATTGCAATGTTGCATAAAATGTCACAATATGATGTTATTCACAATTTTTCATCGTTTTACACAATTTTACGACACGTTATTTTTGCCATGACGTAGAAATTTGCTCTCCCACATAAAAAGCGTGAATCATTTCCATGAATTCACCCAGTTGGTCATCGCTTTAATAGAAAATCTATTTTATTTTAAGATGCCTAAAATAGACAATATCATGAGATTATACTAAGTTTATTCTTATGAGTCAACTAAATAATGTTGTAGCTCTTTAAGCCAACGCGAAGGTTAAATTTATACAAGTCAGCGAACAAGGCCAAATAAATTAGTAATAGATCAAACTACCAACATAAAATATAAATATGTTTATTGCGATTGAATGGGCATGTTAATTATTTATTTATTTCATGCTTTTCGATGCGTAATTTGTGCTGTTTTTAGATTTTCTTTCTAGATTCTTCTGAAACATGTTCTCATTCTGTTGGATCAATATGTTGCACTTATCTAGAAGGTTCTAGAATTTAAGGTCAAGCTTTATATCCGTCCCCTATTCTTCTCTTTGTTGGTGAAATTCATTGAATCAAGTGGCAGCTGCTCTCACACACATGCAGACATAAGGCGGATGTGTACATGAGAAATTTATGGCAGCTGGTAGCGAATATTCTCCCCTAAATGATCATAAAGTTTATGCAGTGTTGCCATTTTTACAAGGAGGGTAAATTTGTGGGATAAATATGCAAAGTCATCGCGTTTTAATGTGTGCTCGAATGTTTCATTTTCTACAAACAAACAACTTTTAGTTCTCGAGATAATTACCATTACCATTTAATATTTTAAACTTTTGCTTGATGCACTTTAGCATTTTTGAAAGATTTTTCAATGGTTAGAGGGTTGATAAAAATTGCACGTGATGAAGAATCTTTTAGTCTCCAAGCTAACTCTGAAAAACCCGAAATTATTCAGTAGATTACAAAGATACAGGGTGTTTTTGCACACAGAATTCCCAAATCCCATAAATTCTAATAAATTCCTTAAAATTGTATATAAAAATGTATATAATATTGTATTTACATACAAATATTCACTAACAGAAAGAAACACACATTCATATAAATATTCCTTATCTAAATCGCCATTATTTACAAAGTTATATCATTGAAAAGATTTAATTGCAATCGTCATGTTTCTGACAGTAGGCGATAACCTTCTCAGTACCACGCCACATGCCACTCACAGAAACCCTGCCAATAATTTCACATGCGCCAATAAACTTTACCCTGAATCTCAACAATTTCGCCATTCTTAGAATGCAAACACGAATTTATCAATACCAGTAATAAACACGCATGAGAATTGTTACATAAACAAAATAATAATAATTTATTTCTCCTCCTCCGAAATATAAAAGTGTTAGCCAACAAACTCCGGCCATCATCATTATATTATCATTGAGAATTTGTTTTTCAGTCTGTTCAGTAACAACCAGACATAACCAGTCTCTCTAATAGTCTAATATGTCGTCGGCATTCAAATTTAAAAACTTTACATCAAAGCTTCTTGCTTTTCTATTAATATTGAGTTCTTCCCATGGGGCATATGTACCTAAAGTGAATTCTGATACAGATGTGATTATAATTGGTGCTGGTCCAGCAGGAGTAGCAGCTGCTACCAAATTGGATCAGCAAGGTATAAATGTTAAAGTATTCGAAGCCAATGAGTGGATTGGTGGAAGAGTTCACAGCATTAAATTCGGGGACGCCTGGGTGGACCTGGGCGCTGAATGGTGTCATGGGGAGAAGGAAAATATTGTTTTTGATCTTATGAAAGAGTCACAGGTGTTACAACATCCAAATTACACGTTTGAAATGGCGGTTTCTGATGGGCATATTGTTGATGAGGAGTTTTCTACGCAATTATTCACGATTTTTGATGAGTTGTTCACACCAGATGGCGCTAGAAACTCTACAGTTGAAGATTCTGTTGGAACATACTTTACTAAAGCGTAGATAATTAATATTTTAATATCCTTAGACTTATTCTATTAAAATTGTAAATATTCTTTCAGGTATTATGAACAAATCAAAGAAAAGTTTGGACATAACCCCAAAAATATGAATTCGCAAAGTGGGCTTATCACACTTTTAATCTTTACGTTTTAAGTTCCGAAGGAGCTTTCTCATGGTTTGAACCAGCGGCATTGTCAGATTATAAAGATTGTGATGGTGACCATGCTATTACATGGAACGGTTTAGGTTATAAAACTATTTTGGACAAATTAATGGCGAATTTTGATCAGAAAAAGATCAATCTTCTCACAGTAGTGAAACAAATCACTTTTGATGAGGATAAAGATCAAGTCACTGTTTTGTTAGCAACAGGAGAGAAACACACTGCAAAACATGTCATTTTCACTCCTTCTTTGGGAGTTTTGAAACATGATCATAAAAGTTTGTTTCAACCGCCATTACCGCAACGTAAAGTAGAAGCTATTGAAGCGCTAGGAATCGGGGCAGTTATGAAGGTTATGTTGCACTTCCCCGAACATTGGTGGGCTACCAATGGATCATTTTCAGGGTATTCTTTTGTGTGGACCCAGGAGGATAGAGATACTTTAGCTACACAATACCGAAAAGGACCTTATAGAGTAAAATGGTTTAATTTCGTTAAATTTAAGTTAATTAGTTGATATTTTAGAATAATTTATCTTGGTTAACCAATTTTATGGGAATGTACCGCGTGGAACAAAACCCCAAAGTATTGTCATGCTGGTTCACAGGCGAGTTTGTTCCTGAAATAGAAACAATGAGCGATGACATTTTACTCGACGGAATCAACTTTACCATCAATAAATTCCTAGGGAAAAAGTATAATGTTCAGCAACCGGATGACTTTAGAAAGTAACATAACCTATTCATAAGGTAGCCTATTAAATATAACCTAAAACTTTAAATTTTTAGATCAGCGTGGTATTCTAATGAATTCGTACGTGGTACTTACTCGTACCAAACACTTGCATCTAGAAAAATCCAAAATCCTTCGGCGAATGTTATTTTAAGTCAGCCAATCTTAAACAAAGACAATATTCCTAGAATTTTGTTTGCTGGTGAAGCTACTCATCCGAGGTTTTACTCCACGGTTCATGGCGCTATTGAGTCTGGTTTCAGGGAGGCTGATAGGTTAATTGAGATCATAAAACATTGAAATCATCATCAACTGATGTTTTTATCCCGCTGAATATATGAATGGGGATCAAATAAACAAAACAATAATACCTCTTGTATAAAAAGACTTTTTTGTCGACATTGAAATCATTTATCAGAAAGATATGAATTTTTAATTAAGTGGGGACGTCTTTGTGATTTTCTTTATAATAGGATTGAGGTATACCCTTAAAAGTGGAAGGCACACATTCCCCCACCACTTTTAACGGGTTAACGCTAACAAACGCAGCAACAAACGTGCTCAGTTGTGCCTGAGTCGTCCAGTGGTTCAAGCGCAGCTCTCTAGGGTCCTCTCTCTTTCCTCCCCTGCTCTTTGCTCCGGTTCTAATTGCCCACAGGAGATACCTAGTCCCTTTTTGTCTAGTGTACTAAGTGTCCTCGTATGATGTCGTAAAATCTACCGTTTATTGATGTTTTTATAAAAAAGGCTCACATCCATTACCAGCCCATAAAGTGTGTCAACTTTCATGTGAGTTTTTTACCTCTCTTTGGAGTTATATAGCACAAGTAGGTCCTTTTCACAGGTCCTAATTCCTTCGCATAAAATATAGCTTTATATCCGAATCATAGATGCCGCGTCAATGCACTCTCGAATAAATTTTGACAAGATCTAATATACAAGTCGACTGTATTATACACTTTCGCTGAGTCAGTAATGTTGGCAGGCACTCCAAACTTATTTTAACTTGTGATAAAAGTAACAGCTACAAATAATTCAACTTGCCAGCAACTATGGATAGTGTATTACAGTTAGTAAATAATCCAATTGATGTCTTTGAGGAAACATCACGACTTCTCCTGAAAATTGCTGATAATGTCATCAATACACCTAACAATCCTAAGCTTCGATCTCTTCAGAAATCCAATGAAACAATCACGAAGAAAATCCTTAATGTGCATGGAGGTATAGCTTGTTTGAAAGCCATGGGATTTCAAGAGGTATAAACTTGAATTGTTGCATTATTTTATGATATCTCATTGAGAATTCTTATTTATAGAGTGAGCAATGTTTCAATTTGCCAATTAATGACCCACTTATCAATTTAAAACAAATTCGAGTGGAAATTAACAGATTGAAGAATGGTGAGAAATCTGTATCAAACATTCCTAACAATGTGAGAGTAGAAAATAACACTAAGACTGAAAATGATCAAGTACAAGGTAACAACGGTGTTCCTGAACATTTTAAGAGAATCCAACTGCCATCATATACATCAGTAAGTGTTTAATGCTTCTTTTTAAGAAAAAAATCAATAGCATAATTATTGTAGCTATTTAATAATCCATTTTTGAAAGAAATTGAGTTATACTTGCATCGAGCTTTATACTATGAGAATTCCTACTTGCAAGAGCGAGCATTAAGTGTGATACCATTGAAACAACTTGAAGAAAATGCTCAGATTGCATTAAGAACAATGCAGGAAAGAGTTAAAAGAGGTAAACATTAAAAAAATCATTTAAACAACTTTCTCAAAGCATTTTTATTAATTTATAGAAAAATTAAAAGATCCAGAAGTTAATTTACAAGATTTCCTCCTTCTGGAACTCCTAGCATGGTTTAAAAATGATTTCTTCGAGTGGGTTGATAACCCACCTTGTAGCACATGCAAAGGTAAAACAAAATTCTCTCACAAGTCAACAGACAAAGAACTTATGCAGTTCACTGATAGAGTTGAGATGCACAAATGTAATACTTGTAACACACTCACGCCATTCCCACGATACAACGATTTAAATATACTTCTGGAGACGCGTAAGGGTCGTTGTGGTGAATGGGCCAACACATTCACTCTGATGTGTCGCGCTTTGGGTTGGGATGCACGTTTTGTAGTTGATCAAACCGATCATGTATGGACAGAGGTGTATTCATTTAGTCAGCGCAAGTGGTTGCACTGTGATCCATGCGAAAATATCTGTGATAAGCCGTTGATGTATGAATCCGGCTGGAAAAAGACAGTTTCCTATGTTATTGCGTATTCTGGTGAAGAAGTGCAGGATGTGACTTGGAGGTATTCCAGTAAGCATAAGGAGGTGCTCAAGAGGAGGAAACAATGCACTGAGGCAGAACTTGTTGAAGCAATGGGGATTTTAAGGGAGAATAAAATGAGTGGGTTGTCGCAGAGTAGGAAAGATTATTTAAATAAGAGGTTTTTGTCGGAGTTGGTTGAATTTATGGTTGAAAAGTAAGTGTTAAGGGTTGCCTATTAACAAACAATGATTATTTTAATTTTTGATTAATTTAAGACAGCCTACTGATGATGCACAAGTTGGAAGAACATCCGGGGCTTTAGATTGGCGTCAATCACGAGGCGAAATACAGAGAACGAATAAATCGCAATTTGTTTGGGAGTTTAACTCTTCTGATGTATGCAATGATTTTATTACTATACAATATTCATCAGCTTTAAATCAGTACCAAAAAGTGACTGTTGATGGTGCGACAATTGCGCTTAATAATTGGGATGCAGGAGTGTTTGAAACCGAAGGAGTTTTTCGTAAAGTTGAGACTGATTGGAAAAAGGTTTATTTATGTAGAACAGGTATATTCCATTAATTTCATCAATTCCTTCTTTTTATGAAGTATATTTATGTATTTAGAATCAAAATCAGCTCAATCTGGACATATCACATGGAAATTTATCATAAGTGATAGAAACTATTCATTTGATACAATTGAATATGCCATTGAAAGAACAACATTTGAAAATGCTTCGGTCACTGCCAAAATATGTAATAATGATCAATGTGTATTACTAACAACAGGTATTATTGATTTTAAAAGTATTGCAAACATTATTGAAGTTTCCATTGTTTTTGTTTAACTTTTAGACAAAGGAACAACGAATGAATTCTCTGGAAAGAAGGAGTTCATGATAACGACGAATTTATCGGGTGGTAAAAGTGATAATGCATGGCAACATGCGCAATTATGTCGAGAGGACTTGGACTCAAAAGATTTTACTTTTAAAGTTAGATTTACTTTCAAAAAGGGTTAAATATGTATCCAGTGAATTGATTATTTTTAATAGAGATTCTGATCTATATTTCATTGATACTAAATCATTTCACAAGTAATTTAAAAATAAACGTATATTGTTTCACAAACTTTTCTTAACTTTATTATTTTAGATTGTGAAGTACAAAAAAGAAAAATATGCCATGTAATGCAGATTCATTTAATGGTGTCATATAATGACTTTCAATAAAGAGAAATTGTCATTTTCATGTTTCGAATAAAATTTCTTCTAGAATCATGCAGGAACAGATTAATCAAAGGTTTCCTGAATAACTTCCACGTAGTATTTCTCTTCCTGCGATAACCGTGCTCTATCGTCGTGGCTGTCAAACGTCAAGTGGATGCGAAAATAAAATCTGATGTCTCATGATCAACAAATAAATGAGTTACACGTGTTCAACTTGCAGAACTGCAACTAAACGATAATTCTGTGATTAATACAGTAATAAACGCAAGTCAGTGAAGTTCCTGGCGAGTTTTCATTCTTTAATATCATACAAAGTACAAAAACGCAAACAAGTAAGGTTATCTTTATTAATATTCATCATATTTCTCTAGTTTAAATTAAAACTGAATCGTTTAATAGATATTTATTGATTTTATTGCAATTACAATCGTTTCAGAATGTCTGACTTTATGGACTGGTTTAAGTCGGTGCCCTTTTTCACAAGATACTGGTTTGCTGGCACAATAATCTTCACACTTCTTGGTCGCTTTGGAATTCTAAATCCCATGAATTTAATCTTTTATGGGAACCAATCACACGATTTCAGATATGGAGATTCTTCACTTGTGTGTTATACTATCCATTATCACCAGCAACTGGTTTCCATTTCTTGATAAATTTGTATTTCCTGTACAAATATTCTGGATACTTAGAGTCTGGATTTTATGCTGCCAATCCAGCAGATTACTTCTTTATGTTAGTGGTTAATTGGATATGTTGCTTGTTGATAGCATGCTTTGTTAATTTACCAGTAAGTATTAAGTTTATACATCATTATGTCTCTTAAACAATGATTTTGTAGTTTTTAATGGATCCAATGGTATTATCAGTTCTTTATGTCTGGTGTCAACTAAACAAAGATGTCATCGTTAACTTTTGGTTTGGAACGCGCTTCAAAGCAATGTATCTACCATGGGTACTGCTTGGTTTTAATGTTGTCGTCAATGGCGGCGGTCTTGTCGAGATCATCGGCATATTAGTCGGCCATTTTTATTATTATTTATTCTTCCTTTATCCTGATTACTCAAACATGCGACTTTTGTCAACGCCGGCGATATTCAAGCAGTGGTTCCCAAGCCAAGCGGGTGGTATCCATGGTTTTGGGGTACCTCCTGTACGACCAGCCACAGCAGCGCCTCCACCAACAAGAGGTCGGTCATGGGGTGCCGGACATCGATTAGGCACAGATTAATTCATAATCTAATGGTAGATATAAATCATGACATTGATTCATACGTGAAGTACGTTTGTGAGTGAACAATTGTTTGATGAATGTTATTTAGGATTCAGTTTGTGCAAAGTATCAGCATTTGATGTGGGTGTGATATTGCCACGAGACTAGGTGTAAACTTCAAAATACATAATAATATTAATAATAAACTACTGGATACTGATAAAATCTGACACTGATGAAGAAAAACTCGTTTTTACATGGAGTATCGTTTTTTTTTCGGCACAAATCGCTTCACATTCTCATTACAAACCTAATCTCTCGCATCGTTTGTACACAAGTTTGTTTTTATACATAAAATTATTATTTATACGAATATAATTAAACGTTACGTCGCATTTTTAAATCGTACATCGGACAAAAATATAAAATCTATTCTGTATAGTCTCATCAGTCGAATTGATTACTTGGTTAGTCGTAAAACGTAATTAGTAGGACGTTCTTTGTTCAATTTAAATCACAATTTGTTGCAGTTGAGCCAAAAATTCAAGATCACAACAACGTACAAATACAAAAGAAAACACAACATAGTAGAAAAAACGAGCTGCCGTCGTCAAATTAGAAAAACACGTCGCGCGCAATTGAGTCTCCGTAACGAAAAAATGGCACAATTCACAGCGAACAGGGAAGACATCAACATCATTCAGCAATGGACGGATGGCTCCCGGTTCAAATCAAAATTATTGCGTCGCCGCGCTGCGGGCGGATCGTTTCGTGGTGATTTTAAATTACATATTTATGATTATGGCTCTTTATGTCTCTTCCTGCGTTGAGGGAAGTGCATCCTCACTGCCATCTTGCTGCAGTAGACCGGTTTTCTCCTCTTTCGCACCGCTGGAACCATTGTAGACGGTTTCATACACGGGATTTACAAAATTATTCGACTGGAAACAAAAATTACATGAGTATCACCTTAAAAGTTGTAAGAAATTAGTTCTTACCTTATCTGTATCTAATGTAAAAGGTTCTGCATCCCTTTCTTGGTACATCGGATTATTAAAATCATTCTCTTGTAGTCGCTCATGTGAGAACGCCGTGCGCCTGCGGAATATAAAGAACGCAACGGCGAGCATACACGCGATCAGCACGATAATTCCAAGGACGGAAAGTACTGGCAGGAGGATCTCGTTGTCCTCGCTTGCCTGCGGTGAGATTTCCACGTCTTCATGCTTATAACTCTCGCAATTACTGCCTTCGTAATCGAACGGACAGAGACAATATGGTATACCATTGCGTAGATGGCACGTGCCGCCATTTTGACAGAAGAAGCGACACTTTACAGGACTATCGCATCTCTCCCCAGTCCATTCTGGTAAACAATGACAAATTGGGTTCCTGTGTAAACCGCCAATCTCACAAACGCCGTCGTTTTGACAGAAATGTATACAAGGATTAGCGTTACCCATGTATTCCTCACATTTGGGCCCACCGTACACATCCGGACATCTGCAATTACCATATACACACACGCCATTGTTTAAACATCCGCATGAGTTATTACTGTTTGTACATTCAGGTGGAACGCATAGTTTCACTTCACAGCGTCTGCCGGCGAAATTCGGTGGACATTCGCATCGTGCTTGCTTGGTGCCCACTTTACATATGCCGCCATTTTGACAGTGGCCATCGCAGATGTTCTGCTCACATCTGCTTCCGGTATAACCATTGTTACATAAACACTTCGGACCTGATTTGGTGGCTTGGCAATTGCCATGATCATTGCAATAACCTTTCGTGCATTGAGATACTTGACACGTAGCACCTGTGAACCCTGGTGGGCATGTGCACACTTCTGAATTCGAGGTGTCTCTTGTACAGACACCTCCGTTGTAACATTTGAGAGTACTACAATGTTGACATCTGTTTCCAGTATAGCCTGGTTTACAGTCACATTGTTTAACTTGCGTGGCACTGCTGAAACATGTGCCGCCATTTTGGCACCATCCGTCGCAGACACTCACGGGTTCATCACAACGATCACCGGTCCATTCGGGTGGACAAATACATTTCAGTGGTGGTTCGTTTTGTAGGTCAGTAGTTGAGAGTAGATCTATGTAGCAAGTTCCTTTGTTGTGACAGTATTGTGAGCAGATGTAATGCTCACAATGCGAGCCTGAATAAAGCGGGGGACAGACACACCGTTGTTCCAGTCCTGACACCTTACAGACACCTGTATTACAATTGAGATTACATCCTGTGGTAGGTGTTTCTGGACGACAAGTAAGATTATCTTTAGCGTAACCATCCGGGCAAGTGCATGTTGCTTGATTGGCACTCAACAGACAAAATTCTGTGGGGTTGCAGAAGTCGTGACATCTATTATTAGTCGGTTCCTGGCGATGTGCTTGCACTATCAACACGTCTGCAATACGTGGTAGGCCTTGTGCTAAATGCGAAGCATTTCCAGATCCAAACTTGTTCATTTTCATGATGTTATGTGTGTTTAACGTAGAGAAGTAGATATAATCTTCGAATACTTCTAATTTGAATGGTTTCACACCTGAAGTGAATCTTTTCACAACATGGTGATCAGATCCGTCATATTTCGCTGATTCAATGGTTAATGCCTTAGCATCAGACCAATATAAACGTGCTGCGGGATGATCAACAGCCAAACCTGTAGGCCATAGAATGCCTGTGAATTTCAACACGTGGCGTTTGTTTCCATCCATGTAAGCTGTTTCAATCCGTGGGGCTGGCCCCCAATCTGCCCAGAACATCAAACCTTCAACAGGGGCCACAGCAATATCTCTTAGTTGATTCATGTAACCGCTGAGCACGGTGTAATAATGGCTGCCGTCTAATGCGGATGCAATGATTCTGGTTCCATCAGCGACGTAGATTCGTTTACCAATCCAATCGATTGCTAACCCTCTGGGATTCTTCAAATTATTCAGAACCACGTGGGAGTTAGCTTCACGGATTTTCCTGGAGTTACCTCTGGATAGTTGAAGTTTCATACTCTTCACCTTCTTGTTTTGATGATCAGTCCAGAACACAGTTATTCCTGCTGGTGTGTACAGAATATCTAATGCGTCGACTTTGTAGCCAGGGTCTGAAGATAAAAGAGCTTTGTTGTTTTGATTGGTGATTCCTGATTTATACGGTGATATCATTCGGAGTTCTGCTTCAGCAGCGATTACCAACTGGGCTGGATCACCTTGCGCTTCACATCCTCCTTCAATAGACAAATGGAATCCTGATGAGCATTTACAATGGAAGTGTTTATCTTTACTCTCGAAACACATCTGTGAGCAGTTGCCATATTGGCAGATAGAATGATTACAATCCATCTCATCAGAATTATCATCACAGTCGTTCTCTCCATCGCACATCAATTTCTTATCAATACACTTTCCATTATTGCAGTGGAACTGTGTCGCTGGGCAAATATGATAGGTCTTACACATTTGCACTTCTTCATCGCTATTGTCTCCGCATTGATCATGCCCATCACATACCTGCGCCAATGGGATACATCGATGGTTACTGCATCTTAACCTACCAGGTGGACAAGCAAGGGTAACACACAGACTTAACTCTTCATCAGAACCATCACCACAATCACTCTGACCATCACACCTCCATTCCGGATGGATACACATTCCGTCTTTACATTGGAAGCCATTATCCGGGCATTTACTGCAGTTGATTTCATCGGATCCATCAGCACAGTCAAAGTCCCCGTCACACTTCCAGCTCATCGAGATGCAATACTTCGGGCTGTGGCATTGAAACTCTCCGTCCATACACTTAGCGTTACATTCCAATTCATCAGATCTATCTTCACAGTGGAATTCACCATCGCATTGGTAACTGCCTCGAATACACTTGCCATCTCCGCATCTGAATTCACTTTCTGAACAGTTTCGTGGAACACAGCCGATTTCATCCGAACCATCTTTACAATCATTTGTATCGTCACACCTCCATCGCCCTGGGATACATCTATTGGAAGTGCATTTGAAGTAAGTCGCTGCACATGTATGATAATCTGGTAAATAACATGATGCGGGTTCATCTTCACCGTCGTTACAATCTGGTTCTCCATCACACTGCCATGATTTCGGAATACACCTGCCTGACCCACATCTGAAGTGGTCACTTGGGCATGTTCTCAGTGTACAATTCGCAAACTCATCGGAACCATCTTCACAATCGTTGTCTTTATCACATACCCAAACCAGAGGAATACATTTATCATTCGCACACTTAAATTGGAAAGGTAGACATGTTGCTGGTGGGCAGTCCTTTTCATCCTCCCCAAGTGGACAGTCTGTTATTTTGTCACATCTTTGATTGCTACCTATACATCGCGGACCAATTGTACCATTGCCTTGACACTTGAACTGGTTAGAAGTACAGGAATACGTATCACAGCTAACTTCGTCACTATTGTCCTGACAATCATTGATTCCATTGCACAAGGTAGATGGATGTATACAATGTCCGTTCTTACACTGATACTGCCCAGGGAAACATTTGAATTCTGGACAATCTGGTGGTTCATCGCTTCCATCTCCGCAATCATCCTGGGTATCACACTTCCACCAGAATGGAATGCATTTGTATGTTGATTTGCATTCGAAGTGTGCCGTTGTGCAGTTGGAAATGCACGAGTGATTATCATGACTTAGGACATAACTTTCCGGACATGCGCAGGTGTAATACGGCGGATTCGGTGATAACAAACAAATGCCAGTACAATTAGTCTTCTCGCATGGATTTTCTACTTCAGGTTGTCTCAACGGATGGATTATCCTCAGGTCCATTGGTCTGTGGACAGTTGTTAGTAAGGTAGAACAATCATCACCTCGATATTTATCACATCGTTCAACAGATTTTGTTTCCCAATCTGACCAGTAGACGTAGTTCTCCCACACGGCGATTGAAAACACATGATGCAAATGTAATTCGGAATTTTGTGTTCTGCTGGCGACAATCTTGATGTGTTTTCCATACAGGTCGGAAACAGCAATGTAATCTTCCCGAGCATCCGCCCAGAAGAGTTCCTGCGTGTCATACGCAATCGTCAACGCATTGGGCCATCCAAGACTGTGGTTTTTATCGTCGATAATTATATGTGGATCGGAACCATCCATACCAGCTTTGCCAATGTGCACATTCGCTCCCCAATCGGTCCAGTAGAGATATTTTCGAATGGGATCCACCGCAACAGCTCTAGGTTCTTGTAAACCGTCGGAAATCAAAACTTTCCTGAACTTTCCATCCAAAGTTGAGACTTCTAATGTGTCAGACCCTTTGTCACACCAGTACAAGTTCTTACCAACCCAGTCCATGGTGAGGCCATCAGGATTCTGCAGGGTTGCTGAATGTAGAATCACTTGACTCGCGTTTGCTGTTGAATTACATAGTTTTTTGATAGAACTGCTTGCTGTGGTCACCTCTGACCAATAAATGCATTGATTTGCATAGTCATAATCCAAGGCGACAGCGTTAGTTAAGTTGTGGACTCGTAAATGAGAGAAGCCATTGAGATTCACTTCACGGATGTAATACCTGTGAATTATCCAAAGATTACATTGATGTTTATGGTTTAATATGGACTAAAATTACATGTATGTGTGATGTGAATGATGTGTATGTTGATTGATGTTTTTTGTTGTGTATGTGTTTGTGTAGATGAAGAATGTTGAATGAATTGAATTGTTACCTGTTTGCTAACATCAGCATAGCATTTATCGAGCTATTCCCGCGGCAAGTTCGTTGATCCTCGGCGAGGTTGAAGTCTTTAACACAGTCGCACTTATACGAACCTATTGTATTATTGCACACTTGACTACAGGGACGGTCCTCGCATTCGTTCACATCAACACAATGCTTGGTGTCGTTAACATCTACTTTGAAGCCGGTATTGCACGCGCACTCGTAACCAACCACTTTGTCGATACACTTGTGATGGCACGGTGAGGTTTGTGATTCACATTCATTTATATCTGAAAGAATATCGTTATCATTAGTATTATTTTTATAGAAAGCAAAGAATTCCAACTTACTGCATCTGTTTTCATCAGAAAAGTCTCCACAATTATTCTCCCCATCACAGAGTAATGTATCATTGATACAGACACCATTGGTACACTTGAACAACCCGCGGCCATTGCAAGTAACCGAATCCTCTCTACATTTTACTTCATCAGCGCCATCACCGCAATCATCTCTTCCATTACAAACAAACAAGTCGATAATACATTTCCCAGATGGACATCTGAACTCGCCAGGGAAGCACTCTTGTGATTTCTGGCAATCTGCTGGTTCATCACTGTTATCGGAGCAATCCGCGTCGCCATCACAGAAGAACACCTTGGATATACACATGTGATTCGCACACTGGAACTGATCTTCTTCGCACGCCATCGCGTTGCATCCATGTTCGGGATTCTCATCCATCATATCAACACAATCATATTCGTCATCACATACATACGACCATGGTATACAACTGCCGGTTGAGCAACGGTATTGCCATGGGGCGCAGGTCATCGATGCACAATGCAAACTCTCGTCTGAATCGTCTTTGCAATCTGGAGAACCATCACATTGCCAAGAGTTGGGGATACATTCAGTACTATTCTTGCATTTGAATTGATCTGATCGGCAATCTTGCTGGCAGTCTCTTTCATCTGATCCATCAGTACAATCCCGTTGTCCGTTACATCTGTAATGCATTGGAATACACGCTGAGTTTGATTGGCACATGAATTCTTCTCGTGCACAACGACGTCCTTTACACTCTAATTCATCAGAACTGAGTTTTCCATCTAAACAATCATCGATACCATCACACACTTTCGATTTTGGTATGCACTTTCCGTTTCTACATCCGAATTCTCCATTTTTACATGTTGCTTTCGTGCAATTTTGTTCATCTGAGTTATCCCAGCAATCATTCTCTCCGTCACAGATCCACACAGGTTGGATACATGCTGTTGTATTGGCACAGTTGAGGAAATTCATATCACATTTCACCGGGGGACATCCCACCTCATCTATTGAATCCGAACAATCAGGATCACCATCACAACGGTATTTCTTATTAATGCATAAACCATTCGTGCATCGGAAACTTGTCGCTTCGGGACACGTGCAATTTGTTTCATCTGTCCCATCCCCGCAGTCATTAACACCATTACAAGTTAGATTAAAAGTGATACACCTTCTATTCAAACATTGGAACAGATGGGGACAGGTCCTATGTCCACAATAACCTGGTTCCTCATCACTTCCATCACTACAGTGTGGGGTACCATCACAAGACAGCACAAATGGTATGCAACCGCCATCGGTACATCGGAAAGAATCACCATTGCAAGTGGTTGCTTTCTTCAAACATCTTTTACCATCGTCGGATAATGTCCGTCCATCTGAACAAGCACATTGCACTTCTCCAGATGCAGCCAAACCGCAAATATCTTCACATCCCCCGTTTAGTATTTTACAAGGATTAGAGAAACAATCAAAAGTGTCTTCAGCAACAGTGATCAAACCCATTGGACGCGCGACATCACGTCTCAACCACACTACATTCTGACCTGTGAGTTTATCCGCTCTAAGAACGGCGTGCAGTACCCAATCAGTCCAAAAGATATAATCACCATAGACACTTAGAGCAAAAGAGTGTTGTGGTGTGACCTTAGCAAGGATAACTCTCCCGGTTCCATCGTATTCACAACGTTCGATCTTGTCTATTCTGGCATCACTCCAGTAAAGTTTCTGTGCCTTGTGGTCTAGGGTAATTGCATTTGGCATTTTAATTCCTGTACTTATAATCACTTCGCGTTGGAAACCAGTGAGATAAGCACGTTCAATACTGGGCTGGTGTAGGTTCCAGTTGGTCCAATATATACGCGCTCCACAACTATCAACTGCAATACCTCTCGGTTTATCATCAGGTTGAAGTTTTAGGACTGTTTCTACTTGGGTACGGTTGGTTCCATTGTCTGTTAAGTTCGCTCTTCGTATAGCTGGGTCATTATTACAGGTCCAGTATAATGCGTTGTATAGTTGTTCGTAAACTACACCTTCAACAGCTCCTTGTCCTTTAGGATAACAAAAAATATATCAGAAACTGATAATAATATTAGAAATGCCACTAAACTTACTTTCTACGAGTACAGCATGACCACTTCCGTTAAAGAACACTGTATTGATTGAACCCCTTTGGATGTCAGAGTAGAACAATCTCTTCTGCTTGTAGTTGAAAGTCATACCAATGGCGTTCCGCATTAAAGAAGTGTTTTTAATGCTTGGGTATGGCGAGTTTTGAATGGCCGCGTTCGTCATGTGGATTGATTCGATGCTCACCACTCGGGAATACATCACAAAACTATCATATTCTAAAAATAACATCAAATTTCTTAGATTTACATTCCCAATGGAATAGTTCAATGTTTACCTTTGCATGTTTTTCCATCTGATGCTAATGTACCATGCGGACAAGCACAAACAGGATGTGTTCCATTGAACAAACACAACTGCTCACACCCGCCATTATTGACAGCGCAAACATTCTTCACTTTTTGTTTCCTCTTTGAAAAGACCTGAATATCCTTTAGAGAATCACCTGCTTTGCTCAGGAGTATTTGGAAGTCTGATAAATTGTTGACATTTGCTGATTTTATACTCCCACGTTCATGGTTTCTATAATAAGAGTAATTTAAGACTTTTGAAAAAAATATGAAGATTTTAATGACTTACGTGTCTACCCAGTATAACATATCATCTAATAAAGTCAACGCAACCGGGTTCTGCAAAGAATGATTCAACAACACCGAATGATCAGTGCCGTTGTACCTCATCCGTTCAATAGTGTTACTACTGGAATCACACCAGTAAATATACTGATTATCCATATCTAAGGTGACATCCGTAATGGTGGCTAGTGTATTGTTAACCAACAACTGCCGATTGCTACCGTCCAGACCAGCTCGTTCTAATTTTTGATCTCCAGCCCAAACCAAGATACCATAATGAGCATCCAAAGCAAGAACTGTTGGTGTTCCCACGTCTACTGACAACACCACATATTTCGCTGATCCATTGACTCTGGACACGAGGATGTTCCCTTGTCTGGGATCACTCCAATACATATTCTGTGCTGACCAATCAATGGCCAAACCCGCCAAACAATCGACATTCACAGACTCCATTCCATCATTCTGTTCAATCACTGTTTTCCTCGCGGTACCATCCCTACCGATTTTCGTGATCAAACCATGATCACTATCAGCCCAAAAGATCAAATTATCACTAGCCAAGTAGTCAATCGTGCTCGCCATGGAGACTCGGGAAATAGGTCCGAGAACTTGTGTTTCATTACTGCCATTAAGAAGCATCCCACGAATCTCCCAGTTAATGGAGTAGAACAGAAACTCTTCAATACCTAAGCATCCACGTGGGTCTTTTGGGTCTATGAAGAACCCATCAGCACATTTACAAGTGTATTCACCAGCAGATTTGGGTAAACATAGGTGTTGACATCCCAATTTGTGCATGCCACATGGATGTGCCCCGCGTTGTTCATTAGGGTCATAGATCCTCAGTGCCAACACCGAACTACTTGCCCTGAGGAATGTTTCTGATCCCCCTGTGGTTTTATGTACAGAACGGATGCTTTGCGCGTCATCATCCGCGTAATACACGAAATCTTTGTAGACAGTCGCAGCCAGGACCACACCTTTATTCATTGGTAACTTCTGTACCTCTTTCGTGGTAATACCGTAATAGTAAATATCATAATCACTCACGTAGTACAAACGATTCGTCTCCTTATCATAGCTTAAACTTTTGGTGTTTGATGTTAGATTTGATACTAAAACCTTATGATTGCTACTGTCCATTGCGCTTGACTCAATAAAGCTCTGATTATCCCTGAGGGTAATATAATATAATTGACCCTCCAATGGGTTTGCAGCTAGACTTATAACGTGGATATTTTCAATCAGGACTGCGCTATATTCACCGTCAAGATTACAAACGGTTATACCAGATGGTGAGCCGACAAATAATAAATTCGCCAACCAATCAAGAGCAAGACCTGTAGGGTTAGTTAGACCTGTGTCTATCAACGTTTGAATTGGTCCCATTGTGAGACCGGAACGTTTCACTTCATTCGCAGTAGAATCAGCCCAATACAATGTGTTGTTCGATGCAAGATATTCAATTTGACTTGGGTACAACACCTGTGGCATACTGATAGTTGGAATCGTGTGGTAATAGGGTTGTAGAAGATCTACACCACGGATTTCATTCGCCCTTGCTATTAATAGCACTCTTTCATTGACAACACATGTTTTTCCATCGGCGTTCAACCTCATCACATGTGGACAATCACAACGATACGTTGAATTCAAATGCAGTAAACATAAATGCGAACAGCCGCCATTATTCTTCCCGCAAGGATTTATACCATTTCGTGGTTGTCTACTGGGATGTAGAATTTGTATATCAAACGGTTGTGTTAAAGTTCTTTGAATAACAGAAACATCTCCGCCGTTCCACTTGTTCGCACGCACGATGCTATTCGTTCTCCAATCAGTCCAGTATACATAGTTCCCAAACAAGGTTATGGCAAATGGATGTGATAACATGTCATGGTTCCTCATAACTTCATGATGATCAGTTCCGTCGTATTTTGTGGTATGAATGGAATCAGACCTAGCATCAACCCAATAAATCCTCCTGGAGTCATAATCCAAGGTGAGACCATTGGGCCATGCGCCATCTGAATTGAGATCAACCCTAACCACAATGGATCTATTCAATCCGGCCAAGGAGCAACGTTCAATACGAGGTGCTGCGTTATCCCAATCAGTCCAAAACAACCAACCGTCACGTGGGTCCAGTGCAACAGCTCTAGGACTCTCCATTTCACTAGCTACCAATGTTCTTCTATAGCTGCCATTTAATTTAGCTACCTCAATCTGATCCAGATTGGATTCAACCCAGTAAAGATTCTCGCCGATCCAATCAACCGCTAAACCTTCCGCTGTAGCTAATCCTGTCTGGATCACTGGTTCAATATTACTAAGGGTGTTCTCAATCAAACTGCCTCGGTAAATCTTATCGTCGATGACATCCGTCCAGAATACCATGTCTGTATCATTCGAATGGAAGAAATCTAGTGCTACTGTATTCTTCAGACTGGAAATCAATGCCTTTACATTGAAAGATTGTAGATCAACGCCTTTAATTTCATGTCTATTGCTGAATATGACATAAGGTGTTGCTTTCTCGGTGCTTTTACAAGTAAACCCGTCTCCTTCAAGGGCGAAACCAGGTAGACAGGTGCATTTATGTCGTTTTCCATACGCTTCGCAGTTTTGGGAGCAAACACCCCAATTTTCACATGCGTGGGTTTCCATACAATTCATACCATCAGATTGTAGGTGTAATTTATTCGGACATGAACACACCACACCTTCTGGAGCATTGTTACAGATATGTGAACATAACAAACTGTGATCACACAACTTCTCCCAGCACCTTGAACCTTCATCTGTGGCATCTTCACAATCATTTCTTCCATCACATAGCTGCCTAGCTGTAACACACACAGTGTTATTGTCACATAATCTGTTGGGATGGTCACAACTCAATTTGTCGATCACTGGCTTTGGTTTATCGTGATGTTTAGTTGCATTCTTGATTTTATTCGAATCGCAGTTTACTTCATCAGCTCCATCTGTACAATCAATCTTTCCATCACAATAGAATTGTTTCGGTATGCACTCCAGAGCGTGACATGCAAACTGATGTTTTTCATTGCATATGGGTTTCGTGTTCTCATTACAATGTTGTTCATCTGTGCCCTCGGAACAATCAGGTACACCATCGCACAGTTTCGTCAGAGGAATACAACTTTTATCTTCAATACAAGTAAATTCTGTAGCTTTATTACAAGTGGAACAATTCAACTCATCGGTTTGATCTGTACAATCCGGAACACCATTGCAATACAAGTCGATTGGTAAACATTCTCCATTTTTACAGGAGAATTCTGTTAGGGCACATTTTGACTTGTTGCAGTTCATCTCATCACTCAAATCATTAATGCCACAATCGGGTGCACCATCACACACCCAAAAATGCGGGATACATCTATTCGCTTTTTTACACAGGAAATCTTTGGAGTCGCATTTTGTGGGACAATTTTCCGGATTTTCATCCGTTCCATCAACGCAGTCTTTTTCCCCGTCGCACAACCAGTGTCTATAGATGCATACGGTTTTGTCACATCGAAATTCTGAGTCTTTGCATTCTATATGTGCGCATGGACCATTGGGTTCTGTGTTTTCATCAGATCCGTCTGAGCAATCGTCAGACCCATCACATAAATACTGATTGGATACACAACGCTTCGTGCGGTTGCATTGGAAGAATCCGTCGTCGCATGGCATCGGTGTGGAATAATTCTGTATTTGCCTACATTCCTTGTCAACGGTTTCAAAACCATCTGAACAAGAGCATACGACTTTCCCAGGTGTCGGAAGGCATAGCTCAGTGCAATTGTTGTTATCATCATGGCAGCCATTTGTACCTTTCTGTGCTTTGGTATCAAACATTTTAAGGTTATAAATAGGAGCGTTTGTATGGTCTAAGATCCTTCCTGTCTTATTTTTCATATCATACATCTTTACAAATCCAAATTCTGTGTAGTAAAATGTCCGATTAAAATAAACAATATTCGTAGGATGTTCCAGTCCTGTGTCCACATCAATTCTTCGATTTTCTCCATTGAAATCCACGCTGGATATTTGCTGTTTCGTTGCGTCACACCAATACAATCTTTTACTTTCAAAATCAAGAGCCAAGCTAGTAGGTTCCATGATTTCCTCCTTAACAATGAGTCTTCTATGAGTGCCATCCATCCACGCCATTTCTATACTGTTGTGAATCCCCAACGCGTACAAATTGATCCAATACATAATACCTCTCTTGGGATCTAAAACAATCGCACGTGGGCGAATCTTCCGATCAAAAATCAACGTCCTCCTAATAGAGGTGTTTGACATTCGCATCACACTGATGCTATTGTGACCTTCATCAGTCCAATAGAGATTCTTCGAGAGCCAATCGTAGGCGATACCATCACACTTGTCAATACCATCATCGGAAAGCGTGGTCTTCTCACCTCCTTCAATGGTAGCTTTCTCAATCACTGCGTTTTGCAGATCGGAGTAGATGATAGAGCGTGAACTGGCATCAAAATCAAACGCTGTTGGTTGTTTCAACTCAATAATTGGCACCATAGCTTCAGTATAATCATTAAGGTTGATTCCTTTGATTGTGGCAGGTAAGGATTTGGCTACCATCAAAAAGGACGGAGGTGTTTGCACGATACATTTGGTGTTGTTGATCAATTTGTAACCAGCCGCACAGAGACAGGTACGGGTAGCTATGTCGCGATTCCAGTTTGGTATACACAGATGCTGACAGTCGCCATTGTTGGTTTTACATGAATGCGCAACTAAAAATATCGTCAATTAAAAATCATATTAGTTTAAAATTGAGGTTAGTTACCTTCCGGTTGTCGTTGTCGATGGAATATATGCAAATTGTAAGGTCTGTTGATATTCTGCACAACAGTGGTAACACTCTGTCTAACCTTATCCAATTTCAAAATGGATGCTTTATGCCATGATGAAACATACAAAACATTCTCGAAGATGTTAATCCCGTACAGATTCTGTACCGGAGTGCCTTTCATGATAGTCCTACGATTCTTCCCAGTGTAATCAACTTTCTCAACGTAGTCCAAATAAGTATCAACCCAATATACATGCCCAGTAGGATAATCTACAGTCACACCATACGGATAAATAATCTTATGGTAAATCAATGGTTTTCGTTCACTTCCATCCATCTTGGCACGTTCCAACATGGCGGGACTATTACCCCACTTTGCGAAAAACATATACCCACGTGTAGGATCCAATGCAATAGACCTAGGTTTCTTTAAATCATACTCAATCAACACATTACACTTAGAATTATCATTGGAACAAATGAATATCATGTCTCTAGTGTCGTCCAAGTAGTACCAATTATTGGTAACCCAATCAAGAGCTAATTGTTGTATGAGATCCACTTCGGGGAATATCGAAGGACTTGGCATCTTCCAGCGGACATTGAAGTCATCCACATTGGCACAGACCAAGTGTGCTTTACTCATGTTATGATGAACATAACAAATTGATCTATTGCGATGGTTAAACTCAAGTGCGTTGTTATTCAATAATTCTAGGACTGAATTGCCTGGTAATGGACGTCCCTGCATGGAAACCCTTCGTATGGACGGTAATGTGGAGATGATTAAAGATGGCGCTTCATCTTCCGGTACTAAATAACAAAACAAACAAAAACATTACGTTTATGGTCAAATTTAGGGATTAAAATCTTGAAATACTAACCATTTATAGCATTACAAGCAGTATTATTCTTTATGTAACCAGAAACACAGGTACAATCAAATCCCCCGTCTGTATTCACACAAGTCTGCGCACAGGTGTCATCATCAAGACATTCATCAGCATCCACACACTTATTCCCCTCGGGTTTCCTCCCTTTCGGGCAGTAACACTTGGGACCATCCGGCGTGATGGCACAACCAAAGTTACACTGTGTAGTGTCGCATGTTTTGTTTGTACTGCAGTAGTTCCACTCATCACTGTTGTTCGGACAATCATTATGGCCGTCACAGAATTTAGATAGATGTCTACAGTCTGTGGACTCTGCACATCGTCCTTCATTAATTGGACATTCAGCTACTTTCAATCTGCATGAATCTACATCTTCATCGGATTTATCCGGGCCGTATTCAAGTGAGGTTCCACAGTCGAATTCTCCATCGCAGACGAAACCAGTTGGGAGACATTTGTGGGTGTATTGGCACTGGAACTGACCGGGGTGGCAATCGCGCTCCTCTTGGCAGGATTCCGGTTCGTCGCTGCCATCGGAACAATCTGGAGCTGTATCACATTTCCAATAGAGAGGAATACATTGACCGTTATTACATTGGAAGTGATTCAAACTGCATCCGCCTAGAAAATGATGAAAATGTGTTAAATTAGGTTAGGCACACTGAGGTTATGTTACAAACATTTTATGAGAATTTCTTTCTTTTGTCTTTTTACAAACGTAAAACAAACTTTTGACAGCTAATATGCAGTAATAGAAGAGCGCTATTGTCCACTTGAGTCTTGAGTTAGGTTAGGTACAGTTAGATTAGGTTAAGTTAGGCCATTGATGTTTTGTAAGGTTATGTTACAACATGTTATAATAATGTGATTTCTTTTGTCTTTCTGTGTACAAATGCAAAACAAAGTTGTGACGTTTTTCCAAGTTGCAATTCAACGAATATGCATGTGAAGAAAGAGAAAAAGGAAGAATAAGATAAGTACATATTGTGAATTGTGCGCAATGAGTATCTCTGAGAGGTTTCCATGCGCGCACGCGAAGAATGTAAGCAAAACCCGCGCGTAATCAAAACCTCAAGGCCAAACGCGCGCCGTAGCCGTGTCGCGTTTTTTCTTTACTTATTTCATTTTTTTATTGTTCTCAGGCGCGGCGCATAAACACGCCGGCTGAAAAAAAATTAATTAAATGTGCGCGCGCGCTTAATATTTCAATTAACCTCAACTGACCCACACCAAAAAAATACATTAGTGTAGAAACTATTAACACGCACATTAACACAACTAAAACATCATATTTACGAGCATAATTTTTACAAAACCAAAACTAAACACTCGGTATTTAATTAAAGACAAGCCGCAAACTTGTTTGGGGAATTTAAATATGTATTAAAAATATCAAAAAACAAAATGGAAACGTTTCATCTGTGTTTGTTATTTCTGCGAATCGATTTCGTTTCAGAACATCTTGCAGCGTCTATAAATAAAAACGATTGCGCGGATCACATCAGATTTCATTGAAGCATCGAGCAGTAAATATAAAAGAAGACGTATGAAATGTTTTATGAAACAAACAACTCCACAAACCCATGCTAATTTAATTCTTGTCATAAAATCAGGAAAAAAGAAGAACTACGGATGTTTACATGCGAAATGCATGCGTTTTATTTCATTTTGGTTCGTAAACCTCAAATAATATCTAAATTTAAATATAGTTTGACTTAAAATACATTTTGGCATTAATTTAAGCGTATTTTAAGTTTTGTCACGCAAAACAACTCATGTTTTGACTAAAAATCTGGATTAAACTAATAAATGACAAAAATCGGCGTAAAAATTAAGTTCAAGCCTTATCACAAGTTCAATAATCATGAATATCACTATTATTTGGTTAGATTTGTAAATATTCTACATCGCAAGCTTAAATATTGACTTAAGTCAACAAATAAACGCTATGATTCGAATTATTCGGTTTTCTCATGATTTTAAACGCAATAAATGAGCTTGCACTTCGTTTCTATATCAATAAATGAATATTTAAGAATGATGAATCATTTGACATTGTTATTATGAAAAAACTAGCCGCCCGGCGCCATAAAAGAGGCAATTTAATGATAATCAAAGTGATGGTTACGCGTTTTATGAAACACGCGCATTACCACGTTATTGCTTGTCAGACAAAGATTATTATCTCATTGTCTGAATTCGTAGAATTGAAAATTATGTTCATAACTTCTACAAATACCGAATTTAAAGCCTTTAATGATACTTTCTATTAATACTGAAGTTTAACGCAATAGAAGTCAATAAAACCTAATGAAATTAGATGTAATTTAATAAAGGGTTTCTTGCCCTAGGGTTTTACCTTGTGCGACGTCCTTCAAAGTGTCCGAATCGACGAAAGCCGCTAATAATATGCAATAATTGAAGAGCGCTATTGTCCACTTGAGTCGCGTTTCCATATCGTCTGTGGTACGCCGCACGAATTACATTCATCACAGCATCGCCACTATCATCACTACCGACTTAGAAGCACTCCATAGATAACGTCCGCCCCGCGCTTGTTTATTGCCTGTGCGACCGGCCGGGATAAACAAACCGGGAGCAGCGGATGCTGCGCGATGAAACACACACGAAATAATTCACGTTACGTTGAGACACAAAGAAAATGTAAACTTCATGCGCGTCGAGGAGCGAGGAGCGGATTTTATGATGATGTTGATATAGCTTTGTCGTATATTTCTAATTTCGATTAATTAATAATTACGATTGCGACGGCGACGCATGCGGCGGGCGGGAGAGGTCTTGGTGCCGCCGAGAGAGAAGGCGAACTGTTTTGGGTTCAATGAAGAGCGTGCGGGCATTGCAATCACTCGACCATATACAAACACAAACATTTGAACCCGTGGACCCCCGTGGACCTTGGTGTTAGTTGTGGAAGCTTTGATGGAGAGGGACAAGCACGAAGAGAGGTGATGGGTTTAGTTTAACATTTTCAACACCAGGATCGCTAGCTGTTTATTAATCTAAAGATAAGAATGTTATTTTAATGATAACATCAGCAAAAATTATAAAATTTATTGTTTTTAAGCAAATAATGGCTTTAAATTGTTATTTCTTTCAATTTTTATGTTTAAATGGTTTAAACATGAAAATCCATGTCTTTATTTTATATTTTTTCGAGCTCTTGCTAAGTATTTGTTGATTTCTAAAGCTTTTAGTGTTTTTATGAGATTTTCGGATGAATTTTAGGTTTTATTGAGCTTTTTCATTCATAGTTATAAACAAGTGTGCTCTGGCGGACAACTGGTTGAACTATAAATTGTACTTGGAGAGTTGTTACGGCCCCAGCAATGAAAGCTCCATAGAGCTTCCAGTTAGCATGAGTGTGGGAGCTTTTACGAGGCGCATGCTTCTGTGTGCCATCTGGGTGGTTTGGGAATTTTTCAGCTGTTGTGTTGGTAATGCATTATTGATCAAAATGTTGAATCATGTAAGACACTTGGGTTTTGCATTAAATTTAACAATAAATCCCAAAAACAAACTTATGAAATTCATTTTAAAATGCAGGATATTTTGATGGGTGTAATAAATAGAAATTGATTAAATTTCTAAATATTTTGGAGATTTAATTGAATTGTTAGATTCTTTTGTTTCAATTCTAATTAATTATAAGACTAAGCCTAAAACAAACTAATGTTTTGCATTTAGAATAAGTAGAATATTAAAATCTACATTTATCATTCATAAATTATTACTTTTGATTTGTAAATTTTATTAATCTTAAGAAAAAGCATGGAAATCTCTTTAAAATCTTCAGCGTATGCTTCTTCATCTTAAATCAATCTAATTTGCTTTAAAAATGCTAAAAATCTGATTCATCAGACCTAATTAAATTAATTTAATAGTTGAATATTCAATTCAACCTAAAAATAACTATGTGTTTTATTGAATTAATAGACTTTTTACTATTTTCTCCAACAAAACCTATTTTAGTTGCAAGAAACGACATACATTTTCGCAATTTCTGTTAAATACACAAATATTCTACGGATTTTTAAATGTTAAACATAAAGTAAATATAATTTATAATTGTTTTAACAATAAAATAATGCAAACTTTTGTTTTTAGAGAGTGTTTGTTGCATTTGTTTCAAATAATTCAACTAAAACACTCTGTAAACACAAACCAGCTGACATCTGTCTCTATCCATTGACGTATATGATCGCGACTTTTCAATAATCTCCATTTATTCATAACATTGGCAAAACAAGATAAAAATAGTCTTTACACTATTACAAAGTAAGTAAATTTATTCTCAAATAAATAAATTACATTTAAAATTAGTTTTCACAGTCAAATTACAACAAATCATGCGTTTATTTATTATTTCTGAAAACATTACATAATATCATAGGTTAAAATATAAAATACAATATTATTTATCATGAGACCTTATCTTTTTATTATTGTAGATGGGTGGTCATGGACACGGTCACGCAGAGCCCTACAAAGTACCCGACTATCGCATCTACAAAGTTGAAGATGTTCCCCTCTTGCAAAAAACTCAAACAGCATTAAAACAACAAGGACTGAGTGATCCTTGGCTGCGAAATGAAGTATGGAGATACAATACTAAACATTTCGGCACAACGAAACAACGCATAGTTGAACTCTTCGGGCGCGGGTTCAAATTAGGTTTTGGTGCTTTTGTTGTTACAATGATTGCAACTGCAGCTTATGATAAAGCTTTCCCACCCAAGCATGGACATGGTCATGACCATCATTAAATTTGTAATATATTAAATGGAGGATTACGTTATGTAGAAACCAATTTATTAATTGATAAAATAAAATAGTAACAAAATAAGTATTTAGTGATTTAAATTTAATTCTAACTTATACATAGATTTATTATTAAGTATTACATTCTCCTTTTTTGTGTACTGATGTACAAAACGTTATTTCCACGGATAAACGCGTCGCCATGCTTGTTTTTGAGTTGTCCATTCACGTACTCTTCAGTTTGCTCAAGTGCGATGTTCATGTAACCATCTAGACATGCTAAAACTCCTGTAAGCAGATTAATTTTATATTTCATGTGCGTTATTTGTAAGAAAACTAACCTCTGTAATCAACACCGTTATTAAGTTTGACTACAACGGGTCTAGCATGGATCTGCTGAATGAAATTGGACAAGGCTTCTTTGCGACTCATTTTTATGCAGAGTTGAATGAATAATGCTTATAAAATTTGTTCTAATAACGTTTTTACAAGAATATAGTCGGCGTTGTAGCGGACAAATGAAAATTTGTTTGGAGGAGAGTTCAAGAAAGCGAAAGTAGATGGCGGTATATGTTGCAAAATTGATTTATTCTTTCGTTTTTTGTTGAAAAAACAACAACAAAAAGATTTATTTAGACAAAATTTCAAATTATTAGTTTTTGTATATGTGTTTTCTTTTTATTATTAAGATTTATCGAATGTATATTAAAATATTTCAATTTTCAAGTTTATACTGCTTGTCATAAATTTTATGATTCTTCGGGAAATTTCAATGCTTGATAATAATACACAGCCTCAACCGAAGTTTACATCAACTGTAAACTGTAAAGTAAAAACCAGTGTTATTACAATTTGAATTTATCATTGTAAGAGATGACCAGATGGTCAAAGCATGTTCAAACTTAAAATGGCGAACCAAGCAAAATCATATGCAGTCAAATATTAAACATCACATTAACTTCAGAGCAAAGTAAATTTTTCTTGTAAAATTTCTTGCTTTGCTTTAAGTTTCTGCATGTGTAAAGAAACGTAACTCGTATACCTGCCACCCGCGAATGTTCAATTGTAAGCAATTGCAAGGTGCAACGAGATGCAAGTTGTGAAACTTGCAAGTACAACTTGCGGATAATCCATCTCAGGTAAAATATTCAATTTTTATCTGGGTACAAGTTTAAACCTTCTGATAGATTAAGAAAAGTAAAGGCGAGGGTAAAAATACGTGTCATGGTAGGTTTGTGTTAAAGAATTGAGGAAATTTTGAGTTTGATGGAAAGTTTTGGAGTTTATTAATCATTTTCTGTGGTAAAAATAACAAAATTATCATAAATTCAGTTTTACATCAAATTGATAGTAAAGAACAGTAGGAATGTTAATAAAAACACTGAAAACATCAATTAAACATGATTTTTGAAGTTTATTTTTAAATTTGGTTCAAAATATTAGTAAAATCTAAAAAAATTTTGTTTTATAGAAATTTTTAAATTATATTATTCATTTTGTGTGGCAAACATAATAAAAATCATCATAAATTGAGTTTTACATACAAATTAAGAGTAAACAATAGTAGAAACATTAATAAAAACACTGAAAACATTAATAAATCATAGTTTTTGCAGTTTATTTTCCAAATTTGGTCCAAAATATTACAAAAAGAGTGGAATATTAGACCTATACAATAATTTCCTAAGTGTTTATTCCGAGAATTTCTGGAAACCCCTCGATATTTCTGTTTTCAGTTCTATTTGCCTCGTTTGCTTCACTTTTGTTTGTGCAAACGGTGCAAACCTGCGCGTTTTACTCATCCTCACTCTCTCCCACACCCTCTCACACTCCACCACTCAAATCTTTATCTCTCGCAATCTCTGAGTCTCTAGAAACACATGAAGACGAAAAATCCTCCCAACTCTACTAAAACTCCACCTATCCCACTCACACTTGATCCATTTAATCATCTCGCATTTCACTCGTCCCCAACTGTAGCCATACTGCACCGAAACGCAGCCAGCACCGCAGCACGCAGTCCGCCTGCAATCGCAGAATCGACCGAAAATCCAACCCGCACGCAAGCTAGACAAGACGCACTGCACACACAAACCTAGCGTCGAACAGAGCGCAGCACAGAACTCCAAAGAGACGGAAAACGTGTGTGTGCACTGTGCGTGCGGCGTGAATTGAGCTAGGGTAGGGATTGTGCGAGGGTAGAAGCAGGCAGCAGCGGTGAAGGGCGGTGAATTTCCAAGTCGAACGCAGTTGCCGTCGTCATTGCCGGTTGTGAGTTGCGCCAGTAGCGGTGAAATGTGAAGCGGCCAGAAAAAACACCGAACATCTCCCTCAGCACACTCACACATTTCATACAAAACCAACACACCAGCAACTGCAACACCTCAATGTCCACGGCAGTATAAAATTGGTAAGTTTATTATATTGTTATCTGTAAAATATTGCATCCATGCATGTTGTGTAGTATATTACTACAGAAATTATTTTGTTTTTCTTGTGACGCGCCTAGGGCTGCAAAGGCGAAGGGTGTTAGGTAATAAATTTTCATGTGTGCCGGTTAACCTCATTTTAATATTAATACAGATATGTAGAATTTGCAAATGTCGAAAAGATATATTTTAATATCAAGGTGACTTCAAGGTCAAAAGAGAAAGAAAAAATCAAGGTTTGTTTACTTTCAGCCATGACTCGTGATTTTACAGAAATCTAGTGTGTTTATGAAGATTTCTATGCAAATTTTAGTTTTATTTTGTTGTTAAGTTGGTATTTATGTGGTAAGAATGTAAGTTTTGAGGATTTTGTTGTTGTGGATGGTTCATTCAAGACCTACCTAACGGGGCCGCACGGAGCGCACTCTGCATGTCAAGTTCAAGTGGCATTTCCGAAAATAACGATCCATCCGCGTGCGCTGGCTGCTAACGGTGCTCGGTTTGTCCGCGGCGCGCAACCATCTCTCGACCATGACCACGCACAACCGGCTGCGGGTTGCGTGCCGGCCGCCACGTGAGCGCAGGACGCATGCCCCGCAGCCACCGCCCTTGCCTGCACTTCCGAGAAGGGTCGCGCGCGCCACAATGCCGCCTCGCGTATTCTTTTCCGTAGTACGCACGCACCCGCTTTCAATAATGCAGCAACGGGACCGCATTGATTTTTTTGGGGTGTTTACGGTTTAGGGTAAAATCTAGCCGGCATGGAACTTTCCATTTGGACGGAATATATTTACACAATTTACACAAAAACATTACACAAATCTACAAAAATACTTATAAAATGTAAAAAAAGGAATCCTGTAAAATCACATCATTTTTTCATGTTTACCAAATTATGCATTTGTTTTTCGGATTCATCGGTGTCCCTACCGGACATTGGTAAACTTCAGCAAACTCATCACTATTACTTAACGTGCCAATCACTCTGAATCTTCCAGGGGAATGCACTGCGGTTCGTAATTTATTCCGCGCTGCTTCCGGTCTTGTCGTCCCGCACCAGATCTGCGCGAAATTCAAGAAAAACAACTGATACTTAGTCATATTCATCCCTGGTAATGATTCATCCCTTTCTGGGTTGTTTAACACCCAATGTTCATACGCTCTGAACGCTTGTTTAATTCCTCCGTTATCCGCGATGTTTTCACCTTGGGTATTCGCGCCGTCCATTTGCATGTTGGCTTCCGGTACAACATAAGCATTATATTGCTCTATTAAACACTTTGCACGCTCATGGAACTCTTCAATCGACTCCTTTTTCCACCACACCTTCAAATTCCCGTCTTTATCAAAAAGCCGCCCTTTATCATCGAACCCATGAGTTATTTCATGCCCAATCACCACACCTATCCCACCATAGTTTAAACTCCGCGGGAAATGACGATGATAAAATGGCGGCTGTAAAATCCCAGCCGGGAACATAATCTGATTCTTATTTCGGGAATAATACGCGTTTACTACCGCCGGTGGTGAGTTCCAGAAGTTTTTATCAACCGCAACGGTTAATTTCGAATGTTCCAAACGCGTGAGATGTTGTAGAATACTCAGCGTATTCTCAAAATAAAAATCCGGATGTATTTGCACGTCTTGATATCGTTTATTGAGCATGTGCTCACTGAGGATGTAATTTGGGTAGCCTATCTTCAAACGCATGTAGTCTATCTTCAAAGCAGCAGCTGTTTTTGTATCCATGTCTAACCATTCCGTCTCCATTAATAATTCTTTAAAAGATTGCCGGAGTTGAATAGTCATCATCAATGTATCATTTTTGGACCGTTCGTCAAAGTATCTTCCCACAAACAGATTACCTAAAGCCATTCCAAGGTTAGAATTTACTTGAGATATGCAACTCTGCCACCTAGCGGGACTTTGCTCTCGACCAAACAAAACTTTATAAAATCTTTGTTTTGCATCCTGAAAGCGATCATCTAAATTATTCACTCTGTGCCGTATAAATCGCCATAATAAATAATTAGCGATTGTTCTCGGATTAGTTCCACTAATTAAACCAACTAATTGATGCAAATAATTTAAACTAAAAGTTACAATCGGGTCTTCAGGGTTAACCTCTCTATTTGTAACAATACCAATGTATTTAAACCAGTCGATTTGTGGTATAATCGAGTGTAGTTCTCTGATTTTCAACCGGACGTAAATATCGGATACATTTTTCCGATGTTCGGCTGATACCGTAATGGCGGATAATTCTATTTCAAAATTAACCATTTGTTCAGCATCCTCATAAGCTGTAGCTGAATCAGCACCCAGTAAAACCGCGACAGTAGCTATGAAATGTTTGTAAGCATCGACAAACTTCTGATTCCCTTTCTCGATGAAGTAGTCTCTTGAGGGTAACCCCAACGAGCTCTGATCGATCTGTATGACATACTCCTCGGAGTTACGTATATCAGGCCCGACCCATTCGGAGATAATTATATCGTTATTGTATAACCTCAATTGGCCCAGGAGCCATTCGAAATCAAAATGTCGCTCGTCCCAGTTACCATCCAACACCGGCCATCCGCCCAACTCTTTGATCAAGTACAATAAGGGCTTGATGCCTCTGACCTTTATAAGTTCCTCATTCATGCAGCTCTTGAATAGGAATTTTGCTTTATCTATGGCGTCCTCGGTTTTGGGGTATGAATGATTTAGTATGACTTGAAAGAAAGGCGCCGGGACGTCTTTGTTCTCCGCGATCTTGTAGAAATCGTAGATGTGACGTTTGTCTCTTGATTGCCGCGTGGTATTGTCTCGCAAACTGGTCCAGAATTCTTTATCTATGATTGCTGGGTCCTGCGGCACGTTTTCTTCGAGTAAATCACGTAAAACTGAATCTAAACTTTCGCGGAGCATTTCAAACGTGTCAAAACTACTTCTATCCGGTGGTATCGGGTTGTACTTGTGCCAATTCCCACAGGCGTATTGGTAGAAGTCTATGCAAGGGTCCGCGGATGGATCCATGAATTTTTTCATGTTTATTGATTGCGTTTTGCGAATTTCTTCGGGTGTATGTTTGAGTTTCCAGAAATTTTTGTGTTGAGCTTGGTTTGTTTTAGAGATTTTTTCTTGATCATCAACATCTTGGATGTTCATAAAGTTGTCTTTATTGTTTGCTACTTTCCAGACTATTATCCGACTTTCAGCCGCTTGATAATCAGCGTAATCTGTGTCGTTGTAACCTATTTCAGTTTGCGTTTCAGTGTCAATATCTTCAGTGTTTATTTTGTACTTTGTATTTGATTCAGGAGGAATATTTCGTTTTGTTTCTGTTTCTTCCTTGGTGGTGGTCTTGTAGTAAACTCATCAATTGATTGTGGTACATAAGAAGTTTGAAATTCTTCGATTTCCAATTCATCGATATTTTGGATATTTCCACGTTGATCATCGCTAAAACTTTGTTTAATTGCAATTTTTTCACCTTTTGTGGTCACTGATTTCCCCGGATAACCAAATACGAAGTGCGTGATTAGAATACTGGCAATGACAATGATCAACAGTATGAATGGTAGAATTGTCAGCCGCTTCAATTGCATCGTCCATTTTTTCTCGTTGCCGACACACCATCGCACTCGTCCGGTCTCATGGTGCACTGTCAGCCTGCACGAATGCCACTTGTTTTCCATGATCTTCAAAAAATTGTATGCCAGACAAGGCAATGTTTACGATCGCGGCTTTCGGTTTCAAGTTTTCAGCGCGACAGTTTCGGGAGCGTGTTGTGCTAGTTTGTTTTCGGTTAATATTCGCGTGTGTTATGAATATAGCCTTCGCTTTATTAATATCTGGGTCATTTTGATTGAACTCTCGTTCAATTCGCGGGCATCTTTCAATTCGCCGCGCGCGCTCGCCGCAACCAGTGCGCTGTGAGAGTGTTAATCGGGGCACATATCGCACGCACAAATATTGAAGGTATTAATGCGCACAACACCAATTAATAAATGCTCACAATCGACAATAGTCAAGTCAAGAGCATTCTCCTGTTGAAATTTGTGATAAATTTTTGTTATATCCTCCGGAAAATTGATAATTTGACGGGTTTTTATGCGAATTTAGTACAAATTATAATTTAGGTTAATAATATCCTGTCAGATTTAATAGAATTTCCTTCAGAATTTTAAGTTTCTGAAAGTTTGAAGATTTTTTCCGTATTGGTTTGTTTGTTTGATTTGAGGTCATCGACACTAGCCAAAAACATGGCAAAGAATTTTGGAAACAGGTAGAGAGTTGCTAGAAATTACACATTTTACATTTACAACCGAAACGAATCAGTAGGCATTATGGTCTAATCTCAAGCCAAAAAGGTTCTGGGAATGTACCTGCTCTGGCTCTTTCAACCCCAAACGCTCGGAGGTTTGCAGTTCGAAAGCTTTTTGTGTTAATGTTATTCTTTTGTGCTTGAAAGGCCCATAGATCTGTGCCGATATTAGATATTTTACATTTTTACAATGTGCTAGAATTCCGCCTGACAAAGAAACTAGTTTGAACTGATTTACGCATAAATGCATCTGCATCCAAGATGGCGCTTCAAGGTTAGGATGATTTTCTAAATGTTTTTTCGTTTTTTTTCCAGAACTGAACACCCAACCGAACGACCTCACACGTTATTGAATTTACCGATAGATTTCTATTTTTTGCAACACAATCAAAATGTCTTTACAAGAATTATCGTCCCCGACCACTCCGCCTAGTTTACATTCACATCCGGAGAGTGATTCCACCGATCCGCCGATTGATGCATTCATCGCGGATATTCTCCAGTGTGTTACTAATGAAGATTCGGAGATTTGCGCGAGCTGTGACGATGGCGTCACTGCCACTTCAAAGTGTCGCGATTGCAGCGAATTGTTGTGTGAGCCATGCGTGCATGCACATTTGCGCGTGCGTTTGACAAAGGATCACAAGATCACACGCTTCACAAACAACAATGGCGGCTCGCTGGGACTAGTTTCCAATCATCATTCACTCAGTTCTTCATCAAGAGTAAGTTTATAAACCATAATAAACAAATTTTTGAATTAATTGATTGATTTCATTTAATTGATTTTTGTTTTATAGGCTACGAATAGTCCCTGCAGCACTGGATCTCTTTTCTGTGAAGTCCACCATGAACAAATCAAACTCTTCTGCGAGGATTGCACATACCCGACATGCGCCGAATGCGCCCTTGTGGAACATCTCGGCCATCACTTGATTTTCATCAACGATGCCATTGAAAACGCAAAGAATATCAACTTCAAACTTATTTCGGAAACTCGCAGCGCTATGATTGCCATCCGTGACGCCATGAGTCAAATTCAGCGCGTGAATGATTGCGTCGAACTGCGTTCGCATCAAGCAGTCAAAGATGTCCACAAAACAATCCGTCGTTATATTCACATGGTTGAGGAACGCGAACGGGATCTTTTTATCCGCATCGAACGTCAGAGAGTATTCAAAAGTAAGGCTTTGATTGCCCAGATGGATGGACTGCGCATTGCAATGGGTAAACTATCAAGGACCAATGATATCCTCAGTGAATGTCAGGATACTGGTAATGGACTAGATATTATTTTTGCTAATGAACGCGCGGAAGGTGAATTAAAACAACTGAGATCTCTGCGTGGGAACTTGCATCCATGTGAGGATGATATGATTGTCTTCAATCCACCAGATGATCAATTACTACAGGCTGTGGGTAACATGGGGAACATTGGCACAATGATGCCACCTATCGGCAGGAATAGAGAAATTAGAAATACAAGGGAAGTGATTCAGTCAACTTACACACCGTCCATCGACTTGAAACTAGAAAGAGTCCCTAGCACACCATCTACCACCACGTCAGCCACAATTGGTAGACCTATATTCGGAGCGAGCAAACCAGTAATTGTTCGTGATAACGGCGCGAAACCCTCACGTATCTTTGGTATTGAAGGCGAGGAGGAAGGATTCCTCTGCCGGCCATGGGGCGTATGTTGTGATAAGAACGGCAATATTTTGGTAGCCGATAGAAGCAATAACAGAGTACAAATCTTCAACCCAGATGGTACCTATCGTAGTAAATTTGGAACGCAGGGAACCGGGCCCGGACAATTTGATCGCCCTGCTGGTCTTGCTGTTGATAACAACAATCGTATTATCGTCGCTGATAAAGATAATCATCGTGTGCAGGTGTTTACCATGGAGGGTCTGTTTGTTTTGATGTTTGGCGAGAAGGGATGCCGTCCGGGACAGTTCAACTATCCCTGGGATGTGGCCGCCAACTCAATCGGACAGATTGTTGTTTCTGATACGCGTAATCATCGCGTGCAATTGTTCAACAGCGATGGGAAATACCTGGCTAAGTATGGTTTCGAAGGGATGAATTCTTTGTGGAAGAATTTTGATTCTCCGCGTGGTGTTTGCTTCAATCACACTGGGAGTGTGATTGCGACTGATTTTAATAATCATCGTCTGGTGATTATTGAGCCGGATTTCAGCCATGCGAAGTTTTTGGGCGGTGAGGGCACGGGATTGAAGCAATTTTTACGACCGCAGGGCATTGTCTGCGACGATGAGGGCCGGATTGTCGTTGCGGATTCAAGAAATAATCGCATTCAGGTGTTTCAGAGCAATGGCGCGTTCCTGTGGACTGTAGGACGCGCTGGGACCGGCGAGGGGGAGATGGACAGACCCAGTGGGATCTGTATCAGTCCGGACGGTAGGATTATCGTCGTCGATTTTGGCAATAATAGAGTGCAAATATTTTAACGAGTGACACGCGCACTGAAAGATTCTAGTTCTTTTTTGATATTTTTTAATGAATCATTCTCAGGGTAAACAAATCTCAGGAATCTCAGGAATTACGTTTGCAAAGACGAGAAATTGTATTTTTGTGCCAATCTCAAACTTTGGTCAGTATGTAAGTTACCATAGACTAATCATATTAGAGAAGACGATTGAAAATCACTACTTTTTTAGTGAAAAGAGTTTTAGATTAATTCTAGGTTAGCATAACCACGTGTGCATAATATCAATGATTTGCAATATTTTGCTATTTGACAACGCACAAGACTGATGAATTTGAGACTGATGAAGATGTTATTTTACAAAGCAAAGATTTTTCCAGTTTAGCATAGATTTATATATTAGAGAATAGAGTTTACGACGAGTTTTAGGCAAATTAAGGTGATGCATTCAATGCATCGAGATGCTATCGAGAGGTACCTTGACAAAGCCTTCAATTAATTAAAATGGCGACGATTTATACACCAATTATACCTTTTCAAGCCTAGATATTAACGAAGACTGTTTTTTTTTTAATACGTTTGTTGTGTTCTGTGATTTCATTTCGTTTCGTTTTGATCTAATTTTTTTGTACAAAACACAAACACAAAGATTTTGTGGCAACACAAACCAGTGATTATATATGATCAAATCCATCTGTCTGGGTTTTCGATCGTAGGAAATTAGCGCAAGTTTAGTTACCAAACTGTTTCCATTGCGAGAATAGTTTGTAAATACTGTAGACTTAGTAATTATTACATTGACGTGTTGCAAATACGAAGATTGATCAATTCTTATCTGTTATGATGTAATTTACCAGTAAGCAAGTTTTATGGTGCCCGATTTGATTGAATGATGTAATTATTCAAGATTTGATCCAATGGTGCGAAAATCAATGAAATATTTTAGGAGACAAGTGATGTGCACGATTCGAAATCTATATCGATATAGGAAAAGACAACTGTTCGATATAAAATTGATACAAAATGAGAAAAAAATCGTTAGTGAATATCAGAATAGTTGATAGTAGATAACTTATAAGACTGTACTTAAATTTAATGATTTTTAAACCCTATATTATATATTCAAACCTATGGATAAGCTACGTATTGATAAATCATTTTTTGTGACGTTCTTTTGATAACGACATTTTCGACGATGAGGAAAGGAGAATTTAAGACTGAAGTCTAATGCCACTTAACGTTAGATATAGGCCAAGAGAGCGTAAAGCATTTTGTTGTTTCCGTCGTGAAGCATTTTTGAAAAACGACTGCGCTGCTAAAATCGGGTTGACGTTTATTGTTTGTTGTATTAGTTTGTAACGAACGTTTACTTTTAGACATTGTCCACACCACATCAACGCTGCGAACTTGCCGTGGACTGATGCTTGATACAAGTTCGCGCTTTGTTTTTAGTTTGTAGTTGAGACCTACTTAGCATTACTTATGTTTATTCGTAAATTGCGCGTAATTAACAAATCTTTAAGATATATCTGACTCGTGACATGTAGTCTAAGTATGCAATCACGATTGCCATTTGAAAAGTGAACTAGTAATTTGTAATTACAGTGCAATTTTATTCAATAATATGTTCCTACTACCAATATTGTTGTGTGTTTTGTATTTTGACATTCCTATACCAGTAGTTATAAAAGAAGTTATTTTTTACAGTTTTATTTACAATACCTCCAAAGGCATTTGTTTCATGAGAAATATTCGTTATTAATCTAGAAGCTATTAAATTTAGTTTATATTGTTAATAAGTTTTTAAATATGAATATTCTATCGTCATCTACATTTGAGTTATTGCCTTTTACATAAACATGCTATTCATTTAGATTGGGAGATGCATGCACACTTTCGTGTTCGTGTGACACATGGACACGGGTGCACTTCCATAACTATTCTGAACAGTCACTGACTCCATCAAACAATCTCGCGCATGAGTGTGTGCAACACATTTAACAAAACACCCTATATGATATAGCATTATTGATAGGTATTGTTAACTATTTTTAGATGGCGCACCAATATACTTAAACGTAAAAATTCTTGGATGAGTGACCTTCCACGTATTTCACGACCACCAATATTTACTTTTGAGACTTATTTGTTGTTTTCGTACTACGCGTGAGTTGCCGTCGGATGCTGACCGTGAATATTTGGGAATTGACAATAATTGTGATTAAAATTAGTTTGCACTCAATTCTGGACCTATGTGAATACATTTATCATCAACTTGCTTCCGCTAATATGTCACCAGGTAAATATTATGAATTTTGTAATTTTAGCGAATAAGATGGTTTTTAAAATAAATTAAAAATGTAAATTTAAACTATATATTCGAAATAAAATAATTCGATATAAAAGTAAATCATAAAGAAAAAATTAAACTGGAAATATTCTCATTGTAATACAATACAACTTCTATTAACACTTTTTATTAATTCGACATGCGAATTGCAAGGCTCAGAATATGTGTGTTTACGTTGTGATCTTATTTCTGCGTTAGTTGCCGGCTTCACTCAAAAGGACAAGTAGAAGGTCGCGTGCCATCGACTCGCGGCCAATAGGAACATCTTACGTTATCTTATCATAAGCCATCGCGTCGCGAGCATGCTCGACAGGTTTGTTTGTAGGTAAATTTTAGTTAGTTTCGTACCGGTTGCCGTTAAGACGTTTCTCTGTGCTCGTGTGATTCTTTAGCATTTAATTTGACAAAACCGCGATATATTTCATCGAAGAAAAAGCGTTATTTAGTTGTAACGACATGTACGGTGTGCTGGGTAGTTTTTACTTGCGTTTGTACACTGTATAAACTTTTACGCATACGGCTGCGATCTTAACAACTATTAGTATGTGTCGACGCTGAATTGTGTGTAGTGCTTGTCGTCAGTTTTGATTTACTTTTATATTTACCGTAGCCAATTAGTTTCTCATCGCTTGGAAAGCTGTTTGCGCTTGGTAAGAATCAATCTGAACATTATAGTGGTCTTGTGGTCCACATTGGTTGTTAACTCATGTTTTTTTTATTGCAGTACATACCTTGTCGCGGGTTCTCGTCGACGCTATGCTGGTAAGTTTATTATTCAATTATATTTCCTGTAAACATTTACGAATCGAAATTTGTCTATATTGCGGGAACCCTTTGGAGTATTTGCCTGTTTTCTTCAGATAAAGAACTCGTATATCGTTGAAATTGGCTCATATCTGGACCTATTTGCGGTATTTGCACGTTCTCTTTTGATTCTTATATCAAGAGAGTTAATCTTACGGATACATCTCTTTTAGTTTGGAACATATTCACTGTCGAAAATCGTGGAAATAAATTATCAAGCATCCCTGTCTTATCTTATATAGAATAGTTCGTTGGTTAAGACCCTGCGATTCTTTCTCGTTCTCGCACAAGGTCGTGTGCATTCGATGCGCCGTCTTTGCGCGTCTCTTGCTTTCTTATCATATACTGTTTCGTCGTTGTTTACATGTTTACGTAGTTGCGGCATGCACTATCGGTGGATTGCAGCCAGTTTTGTGCCGGTCGCTGGTTAATCCAGTCGTGTTTTGAGAGATTTATCTCGTTTATTCTTATTCGGACTTCAATATTCTAAATTTGTGCACTCGAAGATCAATCGACAATTTATTTGTATTTTGCGACTATAGTAAGTCTCGTGATAGTGAATTTGATAACATTCTTCACTCGGCGTTGTGTTTGGTGTCGGTTACTAAATTAATCGGATATATGTCGGTCCCATGTTGATTCTCATCATTAAGAAAGATCCATCAGGTTCGTGTAAGTATTTTTTAACTAAACATCACAGATAGTTTATTTTGTGTCGATTGTTAATTATAACATAATTCAATTGTATGAAATATCTTTGTTTTAATTTATGTTTTCGTTTACTTACAGCACTTGTTGTGCCTGGCGGTCCGATAAGCTGTACACTGACAAGTTTGGAATAATTTTCCTTGATACAGAATTTAATTCTGTATCTTCTTTTATAGAATTTTTTTGCGAGAAGATTCCGTAACACGAGTTATATTGAAAGTTGTGTGTATGCACCGTAGTACTTGTTGCGCTAGGAATTGTAGTTTTTTTGTTATAGCATGCGAACGCGATGTCATAATAAGTTCAAAATAATTTTCCCAGATGCGGAATTTAATTCTGTATCACCCTGTATTTGAATTTATTGCGACAAAATTCCGTAACGCGAGTTATATTGAAAGTTGTGTGTATGCGCCGTAGTACTCGTTGCGCTAGGAATTGTAGTTTTTTTGTTATAGCATGCGAACGCGATGTCATAATAAGTTCAGAATAATTTTGCCAGATGCGGAATTTAATTCTGTATCACCCTGTATTTGAATTTATTGCGACAAAATTCCGTAACGCGAGTTATATTGAAAGTTGTGTGTATGCGCCGTAGTACTCGTTGCGCTAGGAATTGTAGTTTTTTTGTTATAGCATGCGATCGCGATGTCATATTAAGTTTAGAATAATTTTCCCAGAAGCAGAATTTAATTCTGTATCACCATGTATTTGAATTTATTGCGACAAAATTTCGTAACGCGAGTTATATTGAAAGTTGTGTGTATGCGCCGTAGTACTCGTTGCGCTAGGAATTGTAGTTTTTTTTATTATAGCATGCGAACGCCATGTCATAATAAGTTCAGAATACTTTTCTTAGATGCGGAATTTAATTCTGTATCACCCTGTATTTGAATTTATTGCGACAAAATTCCGTAACGCGAGTTATATTGAAAGTTGTGTGTATGCGCCGTAGTACTCGTTGCGCTAGGAATTGTAGTTTTTTTTTGTTATAGCATGCGAACGCCATGTCATAATAAGTTCAGAATACTTTTCTTAGATGCGGAATTTAAATCTGTATCATCCTGTATTTGTATTTATTGCGACAAAATTCCGTAACGCGAGTTATATTGAAAGTTGTGTGTATGCGCCGTAGTACTCGTTGCGCTAGGAATTGTAGTTTTTTTTATAGCATGCGAACGCGATGTCATAATAAGTTCAAAATAATTTTCCCAGATGCGGAATTTAATTCTGTATCACCCTGTATTTGTATTTATTGCGACAAAATTCCGTAACGCGAGTTATATTGAAAATTGTGTGTATGCGCCGTAGTACTCGTTGCGCTAGGAATTGTAGTTTTTTTTTGTTATAGCATGCGAACGCCATGTCATAATAAGTTCAGAATACTTTTCTTAGATGCGGAATTTAATTCTATATCACCCTGTATTTGTATTTATTGCGACAAAATTCCGTAACGCGAGTTATATTGAAAGTTGTGTAGTAACCTTTACAAAAATGTTTGTGTGAAGTCAGCTTTTGAAGTACATAAAAAGTATAATAAATAAAATTTTACTTTAGTTTTTATTGAGCTAACGAAGTCCCTTATATAATTATTTATTTTTATTTTACAAGGTGCAGTGTTTTAAACATGCTGTAGAAATTGGTAATTATGTGGGGAATCGTTTGTGACAGACGTGTTATTTCATGTTCAATTCTATAGATGTATCGGGATTTTTATGTAAACAACTTTTTATCGCGTTGAACCAGCTACACGCTGCGCTTGTACTACAAATGTGCGAACGGTTCAGTCTGTTTCCACCTGCACGCGGTTTGTTACCATCTTTTGTTCTTTCATTTCAATTAACTGAACGGCAAAACATCGTATTGATAAATATCAATATTTGTGCATGAAATGATTTTAAAATTGGTGTCATCAATTATGCGTTACTGGACCGTCGGCAATTAGCTTTTTTCGATGTTAAATTGGAATTCAAAATATATATACCATTGTTAATTTCGAGTATATATAATTAACTTCTGTCCTCGGTGGGATTCTACTTAAGCAAGAGTACTTGCTCGTAATGATCAGAACATTGTGAGTCAAACTACCACATGCAATACAAGTGTATTATCCGACGGAACGAACTTATATTTTATTATACAGCATAGTGCGAGTTCTAACAAAAGTGTTTTTTTCTGTTTCAGTTATTTCTTTGATTACGTGTCAAATTGGTAAGTTTGTGAATATTATTACATCATGATTTCATTCATGATGTAGCGTGAACTTTTTCAATCACTCAAGGAGTTTTTACTGTCAGCACGCACTATTTAATTGTATTCTTAATTCTGTAATCGGTTTAACGCGTTTAAAAGTTTGATAATTAATTATATATGAGACGTTTTTTATGTAACGTGAGTACCGTAATAACTCAAAATTGACGCGTGCCGTCGGATGCGTCGTCGGTTTCACTGCAGACTTTGCTTTTTCCATGTCAATCATCGATTTAATAGCGTGAAAATTTCTTCGTTCGTATTTTTTTATGTCATAATGCTCTAATCGCGGAGACGTGTTTTAATAGACAATTTAAATTTCTTCCCGCGTGTGTACACATTTTGCCTTGCTTGTGGCGTATCTGGAGAACCCGTCGCAAAGAAAATTTTAGGATCAGAATAAAATTCATATTGATGTTTTATTTATCTATCACTTTTCTACCTTTTCTTTTTTAATTTTACATTTATTAAATTTAAATTTTCTTTGATTCTTCTTCTAGCTCTCTATTCTTTATTCAAAATGTAGTTGTAGTTTTGTTGTGTCACCCTCTCGTGAATCCAATTCTCTGCATCGAAAATTTTGAATTTTCTAATTAAATGTAACTATTTTCTTCTCATATCACCCTATGTATTACTTTTCCTTGCTCTCTAATGTAAAACTGACAAAATTTGTCGTTTTCGGGTCGTTTTCTACTTAAAATTTGTATTTTATTTTTAAATTAAGGAATTTGCTATTTGTATCACCTTGTATGTTTGTTTTTCTTGATTTTCCATCATAAGATTTCTAAATTTGATATTCCCGAGTGTTTTCTTTCATGAATTTTTGAATTTCTTTTTGTAGCACCCTGTATATTTGTTTTCCTTGTCCGTGAAAATTTAGCTTTAACTGTTGTTTTTAGGTTTTTCTTCTTTGCACTTTGAATTTTCTATTTGTAACACCCTGTATATTAGTTTTCCTGATTGTCGATGAAAACGAGCGGCGTTTGTAGTTTTGAGAGTTTTATTTTTGCACTTTAAATTTTCCTTTTGTAACACCCTGTATATTTGTTTCCATTTTCAATCACCTAGAAAATGGGCTATTTACTAATTTCATTATTCCGGTAGAACTTTATGAAGTAGTACTTGCTGGCATGTGCGCGGCTATGCAGGTCGTAACTCCTATTTCAATATGGAGCCATGTATTCTGTTGAGTTATAAAATATAAAGTTGTATTCTATTGTTAATAAAGAAATAGCAAGATATATTTACTTCTTTGATTTGTGTACCTCTTCTATCATAACAGGCACAGGTCTCTAAGAGAGTTCCCTCTCTCAGGGGATGATCCCCTCTATAAAAATTGTTAAGGTAACCTGTGTGATTTGTGTACTCCTTCTTTCATTTCAGCTGCAGGTCAGAATATTTTTAAGTGTCGCCTCTCTTGAGACGACTTAAAACTTAGAAATATTTGAACAAGGCCTTATAAGGATTGTCCTTATAAGGAGTTCCCTCTCTCCGGGGGTGATCCCCCACCATAAAAATTGTTGATATGCCTGATAATTCCGGGGATGAAGCGCAGAGACATCGTAGCTGCAGGTTGGGCCGGGAGCAATGGACGCATCGAAGCAGTGGGCTGTCTTATAACGACACGTGCCAAAAAATTTAAAAATCTGATCCACTCCTGTTGCTCTTTCTTCTATCTCCTCCCTCCTCTCTACTCTGTTTCTTCCTTCTGTCTTCTACTCTTCTCTGCTATTCCTTTCTTCTACTTCTCCTATTTCTCTGTTCTCCGTTTCACCACTTACACTTTCGTACTCCTCTTATTGCTTTCACTTGTATCGCAATTTCTCTTATATTTTATTTGAGTTTACATATGCAACCCAAATTACACCCGTTATTTTTATATTTGAGAAAAATGCCTTCTATACCTGAGATTCGATCCGTGTCTGCTAGCATGCCAGCAGGTGCACGTCTCCACTCGACCACCGAGTGTTTTTATCTTAAGTATTTGATTCTCCTATTTATGTTTCTACTATATTCAACTTTTTAAAAACAACAACACAACACAAATAACAGCTATATATTGAACACGCTCGACGCACTTAAGATTTATACGGAATATGATTCAAGACATCAATCCTGCAAACGGCAAAGGGGAAACCAGAACGAAATATGAAGAAGTATATAATATTACATTATGATTTATTAGCAACATTAAAAACTACAATTTTTTGCAGTTTCGGTCGCGTTTCAGTTGCTTTTACCCCTTTTATGACCAAGAATTAAATTCTATATTTTTAGGAACCCCGCTGATATTAGGGGGCAGCCGCATTCAGGTGCTTACCCCGAAAACAAGCAAAAATTAGTCCTTGGAAACATGAAAACGCAATTTTTGTTGCTAATTAATTAACAAATCACTAAAGTTATTATTGAAAATGATAAAGAAATTCAATACCTACAATTTGATTGAAGAATGGTTCTCCTACGATGTCGGGCTCAAGCGTAAAACCACTAAAACAAGCCAAAATTAGTCTTTCGAAACACAAAAATGCAACTTTTGTTGCGAATTAATAAGCAAAATTCTAAAGTTATTTGTGCAAATAATAAAGAAATTCAATACCTACAATTTGATTGAAGAATGGTTCTCCTACGATGTCGGGCTCAAGCGTAAACCCCTAAAACAGGCAAAAGTTAGATCTTTGAAACACAAAATAGCATTTTTTGTTGCTAATTAATAAGCAAATTACTAAAGTTCTTCATGAAAATGATAAAGAAATTCAATACCTACAATTTGATGGAAGAGGGGTTCTGCTACGATGTCAGGTTCATGTGCAAAATTATTAAAACCGGCAAAAATTAGTATTTTGAAACACAAAAATGCAATTTTTGTGGCTAATTAATAAGCTAATACCCAAAGTTATTAATGAAAATGATAAAGAAATTCAATGCCTACAATCTGCTAAAAGAATAGTTCTCCTACAATGTCAGGTTCATGTGCAAAATCCCTAACGCAGGCAAAAATTAGATCTTCGAAACTCAAAATAGCATTTTTTGTTGCTAATTAATAAGCAAATTACTAAAGTTATTCATGAAAATGATAAAGAAATTTAACACTTAAAATCTGATGAAAGAATGGTTCTTCTACGACGTCAGGTTCCCGTGCAAAACCCCTAAAACAAACCAAAATTAGTCATTTGAAACACAAAAATGCAATTTTTGCGGCTAATTTACAAACTAATCACTAAAGTTATTTATGAAAATGATAAAGAAATTCAGTGCCTACAATCTGATAAAAGAATGGTTCTCGTACAATGTCGGATTCATGTGCAAAACACCTAAAACAATCTAAAATTAGTCTTTCGAAACACAAATATACAATTTTTGCGGCTAATTTACAACCTAATCACTAAAGTTATTTATGAAAATGATAAAGAAATTCAATACTTACATTCTGATGAAAGAATGGTCCTTCTACGATATTAGGTTCACAAGCAAAATCTCTAAAACAAGCCAAAATTAGTCTTTTGAAAGACAAATAAGCAATTTTTGCAGCTAATTAATACGCTAATCATTAAACTTATTAACGAAAATGATAAAGAAATTCAATACTTACAATCTGATAAAAGAATGGTTCTCCAACGATGTAAGGTTTAGGCGCAAAGCCCCTAAAACAAGCCAAAATTAGTCTTTCGAAACACAAAAATGCAATTTTTGCAGCTAATTAATAAGCTAATCACTAAAGTTATTAATGAAAATGATAAAGAAATTCAATACTTACATTCTGCTGAAAGAATGGTTCTTCAACGATGCAAGGTTCAGGCGGAAAACCCTTAAAACAAGCCAAAATTAGTCTTTCAAAACACAAAAATGCAATTTTTGCAGCTAATTAATAAGCTAATCACTAAAGTTATTCATGAAAATAAAAAAGAAATTCAATACTAACAATCTGATGAAAGAATGGTTCTCCTACGATGTCAGGTTCAGGCGCAAAACCCTTAAAACAAGCCAAAATTAGTCTATCCAAACACAAAAATGCGATTTTTGCGGCTAGTTTACAAACTAATCACTAAAGTTATTAATGAAAATGTTAAAGAAATTCAATACCTACAATCTAATGAAAGAATGGTTCTCCTGCGATGTCAGGTTCATGTGCAAAATCCCTAAAACCAGCCAAAATTGGTTTTTCGAAACTTACTTACACCAGCACGATGGATCATCCTAATAATGCATATTAAATCAACATGGAGGCGATACACTTAACCGGCATTTATGGACACTAAACGCGCAAATAGTAAATAACATTACTATAGTCAAAATTAAATAGTCGATTGATGATCGGATATACAGCGAATTTGGAAAGTAGATGTCCGGACAAACAATACGAGTCGCATAAAATATTGCATCAACCAGATACCGGCACGAAACTGGCTTCAAACTGTGCAAGCCACAACGCGACAGTTTATGACAAGAAAGCAATAGATGCGCAAAGCCGGCGCCGCGTCAATGGCACGCGGCCTTATGCGCAAATTGCAATAGACACAATACCTGCGATATATAATAAACTCGAATGTGCTGCATGCGGCTCTACGACACACGGGAAAATATGATTTTTTTTTGTTTTAACTTATGTTTTCTTTTTTTATTTGCAGTATTTGCCGTCCCCTGGAGTCGGATGAGTTCTGCATTGGTAAGTTTATAATTTAATTATATTTTTCGTTTTAAATTCTGCGTCGACCACGCGACTTTGTTAGCTCACGTACTTCAGCGCGGCGTCTAGAGATGTGGAATTCTCCGTCGGGTGGTATTTGTTTGTTGCAGAAATGCGATCAGCAACCCGCGAAAATTTGCATAAAAGGGTGACTTTTTCACCCTTTTCTCGTGAAATGCTAGCGGTGGAAGTGACTCGATTCGGGGCACCTTACAAGGCTAGCGGTAGAAGTGACTCGATTCGGGGCACCTTACGAGGCTAGCGGTAGAAGTGACTCGATTCGGGACACCTTACGAGGCTAGCGGTAGAAGTGACTCGTGTTCAGGGTACCGTACGTGGATGAATATATAACTGACTCTTATTCGCACATTCAGTTGCGAATATTTCGTAAACTAAAAGAGATATTAAGGATCTGATTGCAGCGCCTTAATCTACGGACTATTTTCTATAAGATAGGATTGTTAAAACCGAAATCTGAGACATGAAATTTTAATTCTTAAGAAAAATTGCCAATAATCGACGATTTTCGATAATTTATATCTCTTAAACTAAAAGCAATAGCAACCAACGAATTGCTGATTATGAAAGATTGGAAGATTCTCTATCAGATGTAAATATAAAATGATTATATTTCCAATAGTAAAAGGTCAAAAATGCCATTAAAAGTACTAAAAGTGACATTTTTCAATTTTTGCCCATTTTATTCAATCGCGAATATTTCGTAAACTAAAAAAGATATTTAGGATCGGATTGCAGCGTCTTAATCTACGGACTATTCTCTATAAGATAGGATAGTTAAAACCGAAATCTGAGAGATGAAATTTTAATTCTTAAGAAAAAATTGCCAAGGGGGAGTGCTTGATACTTTTTTTCGACGATTTTCGATAATTAATATCACTAAAACTAAAAGCGATACCAACCAACGATTTGCTGATTATGAAAGATTAGATGATTCTCTATCAGATAAAAATATAAAATGATTATATTTCCAACAGTAAAAGGTCAGAAAACGCCACTAAAAGTACTAAAAAGTGACATTTTTCATTTTTTGCCCATTTTATTCAATCGCGAATATCTCGTAAACTAAGAGATATTTAGGATCTGATCGCAGCGTCTTAATCTACGGACTAATAAAGAAATTCTATACTTACAATCTGATGAATGAATGGTTCTCCTACGATGTTGGGCTCAGATGCAAAAACCAATTTTTGTAGCTAATTCAAATTTATAATTATGATTAGGCGCGGCGACCACCCCCAGAGGTTCTTCATGAGTACAGTCATCTATGCTCACTTCCGAGGATAGTCTGTTGTTTGGTGCAGAAAGGCAAAGTGCAGCAAAGTTCTTCGTAAAATTCGTATTACATAGGTAATATAATTATCATTTAAAATTTACGAGATGGAATTACAATACAAATAATAAGTTTATTAATTGTAATTCTATCATGTAAAATTAAAATAAATATTATATTAATTATGTTCCGTTGTATTCAAGACTGGCTTTTATTATTCAATTATCGATAATACTACGAAATGTTGCTAACCCATGTCTCGTGTGCCTCTTGGTTGGCCTCGACGTTAGCAAGGATTGAGTGATTCTTCTTAAAACAGTAAATATATTTTAATTGAAATAAATAATTGGTTTATAACGAGATGACTTGATTTATGTAACAATAGAAATAGATCACTGATATGTTTTATGAAGTATTGTTTATAATATCTATCCATTTCTAATTTTATATAAGGTTATTTTTAAAGATGTGAAAATTGTGAAAATAAAGTTAACTTACAGGTCGTTCAGAAACAATTAATGTCTTCATCTTCTCATCTCTGAAGAAACAAAGTCAGATACAATTGCAACGATTGCATTTCAGTGTTCATTTCGCAGTCCACTACACTACTTTTAGTCTATGACTACAACTATAACTACGACCACGACTACGTGCTTGCAATCACTACACTCCACTACACTACGAACTGCTTGTGAACACATGAAACACAACCATGCATTATCTCATTCTGACATTTGTGGATCCAGTTTTTGTTCTCCTTTGAATATGACATCTTCCATTACAATGTTTCGTCTTCTTCACATTCAAATTTTTTGACAGAACTTGAACAAAAAACACAAAACAATTAAAAAATTCATAATAATTAATGTGTTTTGAGATTGGGTAATTGTTGATGCCTTATGTCCCCGAAAAGAGAAACATATTTGATAAATTGCTGTAAGAAAACAGACATTAATAAGGATAAGGAAGGACCTAAAACCCTGCCTAATGTCAACCAATAGCTAAATCGCGATTATCTGAAAGCGGAAAAAGATTAGTACACAAATATCTAAAACAATTCATCATTAACGCATCTAAGAGGAGTAGGAGACTTAAAACTATTTTCATAAAACCTGCCTTTGGTTCCTACCTAAGTACATGTACCTAATAGCTTTGTGAGCACAGACCGATTATAATAAAAAGTGCCCGCCTAACACCGACGCGTTTGGCGATCTGTGCTCGGGATTCAAAACGGTTTTGCAACGAAAACACAAGTGATCGACTGCCGCATCCCAGCGGCAGCAGCCGGCTTTTGGCAGACCAAAATTTAACACGACTGTTAAGTATGGCCTTGTGGCGTAGTCGGCTGAACTGCGCGCAAGCGCTGCGAGTGAAGGGGAAGGATACTCAAGGAGTGCGAGAGACGACAGACCAGAGGGGAGTCGACTAGAGAACGCGGCAGAGAGACGACCGTGTGAAAGGGGAGAAGTGGAGATCGTGAGACATAAATATAGAGATTGTATACCTACATCAAAGAAATCATTTATAAATCTGTTTTTCATAGAAAAATAGTAATCGTAATTTAGGTACATTGCATTGACTTCAAAAGTTTAATGTTCAATTTAATTACAATAATCTTGTTTTTCTTTGAAGTTACAGATTGGAGTTTTAGTATATATTGAAGGTATTTCACTAAGAATAATTTAGATCAGAAAAACTATCATAAACATGTCACGTTTGATACAAAAACTGAATAAGATTGCTGACGATTTATTAGAAGGCACATTAAAAGTGCGTTATTTCGACTGCTATTATGACCGTTTCAAGACCAGGCAGGTGATAATGCTCATCCCGTTCTTGCTATTTGCAATGGGAGTCTGCAATCGATTAGTAAACAACTTGAGTAAAAATCATTAAAATTTATATTTCTGTATATATTATATCTATATTAATTCACTTATCAGTTGCAGCCACCGGTCCGTTTGTCTATGCTGATCATGCACCTGAATTTTTATGCCTGGTAGCAAGTGCCACCGCATGCTATCTAACTTATTTTCACCATCGACAGAGAAATGAAGTTAAACAGCTTATCAACGCATTTTCTGACTTTCGCTACATTCAGAAACCTGACGCATTTGATATTGTAAACAAATGAATGACATTCGCTGGCCTTGTCTTCATATTAATGTATTACATATTTGAAGACCCGTACGCAACACATTATAATCCTGAGTATAGAATTATGCGGTGGTGTTGGAAGTTTGGTTCATTGGTTTCTTGTACCATGGATTTATTGCACACTAAGTGAATTGCTATGTGTTTATATCTGTCATTTAAACGGCATGTTGAGGGAGATTAAACATATTGGAAGTCCAAGTGGACGAAGACGGCAGTTTCGTAACTGTGTGCGATATCATCATCATATAATTGAGTGTGTATTGCTTTTAGAATAAGATGTACTTAAGAATATAATTAAATTTATTTCTTGTAGTCTGGCAAATCAATTCATTGTAAGATCAGAAGATATATTCGCAATTCATGTTGTAAATTCGTCAGTTGTGATGAGTATGATTGCATTTCAACTTAAAGATGTAAATGCATTAGAATCATGTCAATCATTTATGTTAATTGTATCTTTCAGGAATTTTCAATTATTTTTTTCAGCCATTTTCTTGTATGGTTTTATGGTACTACCATTACTTGCATCACTGGTCAAAGATTGACAAACATGGTATGAAAAAGAAACAAAAGCTAGCCGAATTCCAAGAATTTTTAAATTTATTATTAAAATTATTATTATATCTGAAGATACACTATTTAATTCAGAAATTAAATTTTAGAGTGAAGCACTTATTGAGACTATTTATGTATCTATTCCTTGGGATGGAGATTATCAGTTGGGATAAGATATGTTGCTCATGATGATAAGATCACAGCGAGTTTTTCATCTCAAAAGTCAATCTATAATTATCATCAATCACGTACTTCTCGTTGCGGTAAGAATTGTAGAATAATGAATACTAGACACTAAATACCAAATTTTCTTATGATTCAGGTTCTTAAGAGAGCATATTCCTTTATGGCAATATTTGGTCGTGACTAACATGCACAATATGCAATGAACGAGTATATATGTATTTTATTAACTGTAATATAATCGGACTGATCTTTAGGTTGGTCTAAAGGATTATCCTGTAAAGTTTGGTAGCGACAATGCAACTTAAAAGGTTTTAACGAAAGGATTAAAGTTATTAGTATTAATGAAAGAGATAATAATCTCAAATAATATTCGTTTTTTTAGTTTATTATTTAAAACTTTATTGGAAACTTTATTTAAAAGTTGAAATAGTCATTAATACGAAACATGTCTCATTATAAAATCACATTGTAACTCTAAACGTTGTAAAATTGAAATACATAAATAATTAATTATAATTCCCAAATAGTTTCCTCCTTATGCTCACGATGTGCTGTTGGTATATATAACCATTCCGTCAAGGCAGTGAATTTCTCTAGAGGACACAAATAATCGCAGTTTCTCAGCTTCAAACGTTCCAACACCCCATTAATTCCATTCTTATAAAAGATCTGAAACATTAAAGGTGTAAATGTTAAAACTATATCAAAATAATTCTTTGTAAACTTACTTTAACAAAGTACTCTTCATCAATCTCATGCAATTCAATAAATATATGCGCATTATATTTAATCGTATGAACCAGTTCATACTGCATAATCCCAAGTAAGGCTGCAATGTTTGTATCGTGACAGGAGTACAAATACATCTTCATTGTGGACGGCTTTAAAGTCGCCTGTACCTTTTGATGATTCTGCGCATTGATTCTTTCAATTAGATGACCTGTAATTTTTACACGTGTAAATATCTACTTTTGATTAGTTATTCGTTTAAAGCATAATAATAGAGTGAGATTAATGTGGGCATTTGTATGTGACGTCACATACTTTACATCCCTACTAATATTATAAATGCGAAAGTCCTGATGTTTGTTACACTTTCACGCAAAAACTACTTAACCGATCATCATGAAAATTTGTACACATATTCTTAGTGGTCCCCGAATGGTTATAGGCTACTTTTTATTTAATAAAAAAATTATTTTTTAAATCAAATAAAGAAATTGTTTAGCCAATAATACCTCTGCATCTGGCTATTTGACTACTTTAACGCCATCTAGCATTCCAACAATGAAGCTCAAACCTAAGTACTATAGTACCATCACACTGTATTATCACACTGTATTACCGACAGCTACGTCAACATCAAATCCAATTGACTACATTATGGAGACTGTACACTATACTTCCATAGACTATACTTTCAGCCATTTTAAACATCCCGCCATTCTACTTCATTGTTACTTCTTCCATGACTACAGACGCGTACGGAAGCAACTTCATTATTTTAGATATTCGCGAGCGAAGCCGCGGGTTAAAGCTAGTATTTAATAAAAAAAAAGATTTGTAGTTTATTTTTCGTAAATCAGGTTTTTTCACTAAATATTCAAATAATTTTGATGATTTCCCATAACAGTCATCATGATTAATATAAAAACACTGCATGTGTGCAAAAATATGTTATTTTGTGCCAATTACGCTAAATGAATTAATTCTTACCTATGACCATTGGTAACTTGTATCTTTGCAAAGCAATAAATGATTTCAATGATTCAGTTCGTAATGGCTCTGGATAAACCACTTCTGCCCACGCTGGAATAGGATAGCCCAATTGATTCTAAAAGATAATAAGTTCCAATGCTATTCTTATGAGTTATTTGACTTATTTGTAAGTACCTTAACTAAAATTGTATCATAAATATTCGATACATCGGTCAATCCCATGGTTTTCCTGTCTATTCCAGTCCAATAAGAAACATAATCGTAAAGTAAATGAGTTTTGCGTGAAACCCTTGCCTCCTTTGGTAAATGATTCATTGTTGGATAAGCTTGTTCAATTAACAACAACTAAAACAAATTTTTAAAGACTGTTTAAAGTTTATTACATTATTAATTAAATAGCATACAGTATCTGTTCTTGGTGGAAGGATCTCATATGGAATCGGCTGCCAAAACACATGAGAATCATCTTCATCTTCATTTTCAGTTATGTATGGAAATAAACCAGCATGAACACATTGTAAAGTCGCCTGCGTACGTTCTACACTTGTCGCTGTGGAGTTAATCAATCCGTAATAATATTCACTGCCCAAGAATGCATCGTAACGATTTCGGAATTGTTTTCCTAAGGTAAACGAATGTTTTTTGCCTGCTGTAGTTAATTGTCCAACACCAAACGGGTGATAAGTATTATTCAATTGTGGATCTGTCGGATAGCGTTCATTTTGTGTTGGTGTTCGATCACCATGTCTAAAAATCTAAATTAAACACTTTTTAGATTTAATTTCATTAAATTGGATAATGAAGACATTAACTTACCACATGAACTAACTTTAATGTTGATTTATTACTTTTTATTACATTTTCTGAATAAATAATATTAATTAATTGAATTGTAATTAAAATTAATCCTAAAAGATTCATTTTGACGAATAAAATGAAATGTGAAAGTGAAAATAAATTTAACCAGACTTTGGTTAAACATTTTTGACATGTTTAACTTAATATTTGTAAAATATGTTAATTATTGTACAATAATAAAATTTTAAATATGTATTCATGTTTTATCATTAATTACTTAATATAACAAACAGTAACAAAATGTTTTAAATGTAATATCAGTTTTTTAATTTTTGTAACAAAAATAGTAAAATTACAAACTTATTTAAAGTTATACTGTTTTCATATTTTGCTACAGTAATGTAAAGAAATTTGCTTTTTATTTAGAGTTTATTCTGCCTCTGACAATTTTACTGAGCTTTTGAGGTTGAATTAACGTTTCTGTTACTTGTCTGAACCTAAATATCTAAATAAATTCAAATTTTGCGGCTTGTCTCACGCATGTGTAGAATGTAAAAGGAATTTTGAACTTTAGTAAATTCTTGAACCTAAAATTCCCCACAATGTAACTAGAATTACTAGTGTACTCAGGAGCCATATTTAGTCCACTTGAACGTCATTTTTCAACTGAAACAATGAGCAACCTCAGGGTTCGTATAAATATTCCTTTTAATCAACTTTTTAATGTTAATTTACATCTATTTCACTAAAAATTTACTTCTAAAAGCTATTATATCTTGTTATTTTCTATGTTTTTCGTTGACATAACCAATAAACCATTACATAATTCAATACCTACTAACTAAACTAAATAGACTTAACTAATTTCGAAAAATATTTCAGAGTGCAGTTATCCTCGGCCAGCTTATCCGTCGCCAGATGAGCACGGTGAAAGAAGTCCCTTCTTCCCGATTCCAGCGCCTCAAGGAAGTTCAGGCTAAATACGGTGTAAGACAAAAAAATCCATAATAATATTACTAAAATTGCAACCATTTTAAATGATTTGTGATCTGAATGTTATGTCATATTATATTAAACTTATTTAGGTTGAAGATGGTATCCCATCCTACATGAAGGGTGGTTTCTCTGACCGCATTTTGTTTGGCACCACCCTAATTCTGACTGCTGTTGGTTTGGTGATGTCTGGTGAAGTTCTGTACAAACTGTCCTACCCTGCTAAGGAATAACTTAATAACAAAATTCTAGTAAATAAAGTTTAGTCCTGCAAGAACTGTACATGTGAAGATAGAAAATGTAACTGTTCCATATTTAAATGTATTCTTTGTTGATTGAAGTATGTATAACCAAATTAACATCTGAATGGAAATGATAAACAAAGAAATAAAGTGATAAAGAGTACTAAAGTGCAAGGTATGCAACACAATTGCCGTTTTTGTCGATAATGATAGGGAGCATGTTTTATTTTTTGTCTGTTTTGTTTAAAATTGAAAATTCATCATATGTGGTTTATGACATGCTGAAAAGTTATGGAATTTAGGTTTTATATATCCTTGAAGGTAAAATTAAAATGTAAAATTCTTGGGTAGACTGATTTTTCATCCACCAGCAAAGTTGTAAGTATTGAGAATGTCTGTTTCTTTCATTTAGGTAAGTATTTTAATGTTAATTGTTAGTGTAGTATGTTTTAATAACAAAATAGTAAGTTTAGAATAGGCAACCCAACAAACACGTAAAAAATGAATCAAGTTATGCTAAAAATGAACAAAACATACAACTTTTGTCTAAAAACTTTGATCAAAGAGTGTTTATTCAAAATTGACACATTTATCACTGACAAAACCTAAATTAAAATCAAGAACACAACTCTGCAGAAAAATAATCATGAATTTCTTAGCTGTGAGTATAAATAAACTAAAACTAACTACAAATTTAAACACCCTAAACACATTATTTATTAAATTTCTTTCATCTGTAGAGAACCTTGTTTAGAAGACAATTTGCTCGCACATTTGCGGAAAAATCCGAAAAAGTAACCGAAAAACCTCATCCGAAAGCTAAGAAACTCAAAGAACTGCAGCGAAAGTTCACAGTAAACTAAAAACTCACAAAAAACAAGAAATTCAATAATATTCAACTAATTCTAGGTTGATGATGGTGTTCCAGTTTATTTAAAAGGTGGTACCCCCGATAAGATACTTTTTCAAGTAACTGCAGCAGGGCTTGGCATTGGTTTGTTAATGGCCATTAATGTGCTCTACTGTCTAATTATCCCAGGCGGAAATCCTCCGCCAGCTATCGCAGTAAAAGATCAGGATGAGAATTAAGTTTACATCACTGCTTCACTCATTTTTTGTTTTGTTTCTTTTATTTATCATACAAAGACAATTCTAACAAAATTTTTGATAATTTTACCACACTTTGGACACGTCTACATAATCACCATCAGGCGCTTCGTAATCTTTTATCGGCGGCGTGTTATCCGGTCCTTCCGACTTGAATGGCAACAGAGTGAAATCAGGCTGAAAAAATTAAATTATAACTTGTATTAATATCAAATAATAAATTTGTTTGTGAATTCTTTACCTGAATAGCTTCCTGATACAATTCTTCAGATTCCAATCTCAATTGGTCTAAAGCCCTCTGTTGTGAGTACATTATCCTGTCAATCATTTGCATATCAGCAAGATGTTCATTTCTCATGTACTTTGCCCATTTCTTCTCAATAAGAATCCTCTTCTCTTGCAATTCTGCTGATATTTCAACATCAGTTCTTTGATGAAATCTATAAGTTTAAAAATACAATATTAGAATAATTTTTTGCTTAAATTTGAATTTATACCCTTTATTATCAGTTATCTCAAGTGGTATTTCACACTCTTCAATTGGCTTTAACTGCCTGGAGTTCTTCTCGAGCCGACGAATTTGTTTCTCAATTTTCTTCTTCTTACGGTCTTCTCTGGCTTTGATAATGGCAGGGTCCATACGTTTCTTTTTCTTCAAAGGTTCCGCGCTAAATGTAATAAAATTAAGTTGAAGGAGGTTTAAAAGTTTACTTTTTGGTACTTACAGAAGGCATGGTGTTGTTCTGATGTAAAGTAATGAAGTTGTCGATACAGAACGCGTAAATTGTGGTGAAGTAAGGCCTAATGTTAACCTACAAATCGAAAAGTTTCTAAGTTTACAGAAAATACTGATTTGTATAAGTGTTACCTTGCAAAAGAGGGTAATAAGTTCATGTTTAACTAAGTTTTCAATACGCTTGCTAGTTTATTGTAAGTTTTTAATTGAAACAATAAAGTTTTTGCAAGAGAATTCACAGCAGGAAAACTGATGTGTATGACGGGTTGCCTAACTATAATATAACAGCAGAAAGTGTAATGTGTAAATCAAATAATCATAAATTTTACTGAATAAAAATAGATTTTTCAACAATTCTGGACGATGAACTAGTAATTTATTCAATTATTACATATTTATTTACAACACAAGGATAGTTTTGAAACAAAATTTCATAAAACTCCTTAACAGGCAAATAAAATCTCCCAAAATGCACAATAAGTCACCTTCCATCTACAAGATTACTCAGAACTGCCTTGAAACACTAAAATTAACATATCTACACTCAAACAGTTTGTGATTATTGATGGAATGGAACAATTTGTTGCAATTTAATACAGACATGGAGTACAATTGAGTCTGACACTTTAAACACTCAGAGAAGACCTGCTGTTGGCCCAGAACTGATGACCAGACACCACCAATGTCACCAAGTACAAGCATGCTGCAATCCAGCAGTTGTAGGCATTCTATAAACACAAAATACAGAGACATCAGTATCATTTTATAACACTGCAATGAATTATGTAGCACACACCTGATTGTATCCCCTGTTTACATGAGCATAAAACTCTTCAGAGGTTGCAAAACCTTCCTCCAGTCCAGGCAGATCCTCAGCCAATGCCACGGAGTGAATGTAGTAGAAGATGCCCATTAGTGACTGCAATTATTGTTTAATTATTAGAAAATTTAGTATAAATGATTTCAGATATTAATAAAAGTATTGATTTCTGTATTTACCAGTTGGATGATGCCCCAAACGCTGAGGATCAGTCCGCAGAGGGAGAGTTTCGGTCCGCACACAGGCATTTTGAGGGGTTTTCTGGCTGGATTTTGTGTTTTCAGAGCACTTCGACGCCCAAACGAGGCTATCAGATGAGAATCATATGACTACAATTCTAGCATAGACGACATTCGGTGTGTCATGCGGCTTGCAGGACTTTACTGCGCTTACTAAAGCGTCATCTAGCGACCGTAAATACAACTAAAATTTCTGCAGTTATTTCCGCTCAGAATCCGACTGTTCTGCTGTTTGTACATGCAATTTCAGCAGAGTTATATTTGTGTTTTATTATTTATCTATATCTACATAGGCATAAGCCTAAACTAATAAATTATAAAAAAATTATTTTTATTGCAAATAAATCGAATTTCAAATGAATAAATATTATCCACAATAGTTACATGTTAAATTGGTTGCCTAAAGTGAGTTGTCCCAAGAAAAATTCTCCGTGCAAATTTGCAAGCGATGAACATCGCATTACCGCTGAGTGCTGTTGTCGAACCGCCGCTGTTTTCCGTTGCCTAGCCGAGACCCCACACACCTCTCTCTCCCACCCATACCGAACCACTCAAGTTTTCAGTTTGCGCCGTCTGCGCTCTCTGTAAATACATACCGTGCCCGCACCAACCGCGCACACATTCAATCATACACAACACACCTACGCACACAATACCCATGCTGGCTGCAAGTGTGTGCATGTATTAGTCACTCATGTGCGACCTGCACCACTTGCATGCTGCGCTCCCCTCATTCTCATTTTCTCACTCGTCGGCAGCGAGTCGCAGCAAGTTCATGGTATGCAAGTACCAGTAACACCAACACATCCAGCCTGCCAGGTGACTACCACAGTGAGAATGAGAATGAAATGAACTGAAGCAGTACGCATATACATGTACTAAAAACACATTGTAATTGTGTGTAGTGAATCCAGTGGCGTGTGAGTTTCGAGACGGAAATCTCACAAAACGCACCCGTATATCTTCAAGCGCCGCGATAATCGACCAGCATATTCACACCGTGACATCGTTGCCATTATCGACACACAGCATAGCACTCTCGATCTGTGCGGCGATAATTAATTACTCGCGTCACATCCAAATCTACGAAATAGCGAAAACGTCAATACGCATCGCGCACAAATGCTGCATCAAGACAGCGCGTGCCACACTTCCCGTAGATAACGTTCCATCAATAAACTGCACTGCGTGAGCAGGTAAACACACAAACCCACCTCTTACATATATATTCAAGTACCGTTTTGGTTAATATCACGTTTTATTTCACGTTTACAGCTAATATTGAAGTGAATTCTTGTGTTCAGAACAAGTTACAATGGCTGAGGCATCTGTAGAGAGCCCTCAACCTGAAACATCAGCTGGTGGAGGCCTGGCTGTGATGCAAGGCTCGCCAAGCAATGAGTGCTCATCTAGCCCACCGCCAAACTGTGCAATTTGCTTGGGAAATTGCATTAATAAGTGCTTTTCAGACTCGTGCATGCATCAGTTTTGCTTTAAGTGTTTACTTGAGTGGTCAAAGGTTTGTAATTCATAAAAATCATGTAATTTTTGATTAAAATTTTGTATTTGTGCAGGTAAAGGCTGTGTGTCCACTGTGCAAGCAACCTTTTAAGAGTATAATTCACAATGTGAAGTCTAATGTGGAATATGATCAACATTTTGTTCCTCCACCTGCTTCAACAGAAGCTAGGTTTGAAGATTTGGTATGGAGGGATACTTCAAGACATTTTCAGTTTAGGTAAGTGGAAATTGTGACAATATTTAATAGAAATTAGTGTATTTTGTTGTAATTTACTTTTAAAAGTGGTTTTTGGATAGAAAATCTAAAAACGTTTATTCTACTTTGCATTTTCAGTGATTTTTAATGAAATTATGCTTTAAAATGAAGAATTCAGTTCTAAATTCTATAAAAATATTAATATTTTAAAAATGCAAGCAATACTGAAATGTTTTTTACGCTTTTGAAACACTTTGATTAAAAATATCTGTATGTTTTCTTTAGAACAACATTAACAGTTGATCCTCGTGGAGAATTGGCCATCCAACATTTGTTATCGACACGTTCGATGACTAACTCTCTGCCGCGATACACACGCATGAATGTATTGCGCCACGTCGGCGATTATCTGCGCACCCATCGTCACCGCGATGTTTCCTCATCCAACTACCGGCGTTCGCTGTACGAACGCAACCTATACACACACCCTATGACTGACGTGACGGGGCGCTATCGCGAAGCCACGTCCTCGTTCTTTCGCGAGTACCCCGGCTCGAAAAACCGCCTTGTGCCGTTCCTGCAACGCGAAGTCAACGCGCTCCTACCCGACGAGCGTTCACTACGCGCAATGAATCTCGTCCATCGCATTCTCGCTGCCATCGACGATCATCCGATCCGCGGGCGATACATGAAGAATATGCTGCGGCCCGAAATGGGCGACAACACCGAGCACTTTCTGTATGAGTTCTATACTTATGCGCGTTCACCGTTTGATCTTTGGGGGTACGATCACAATGCGCAGTTGCTGAATGCAGAGCCGACTATTACCGAAGACAGCAGCGATAGTGATGTACTGATTGTCTCTGTCGAACGTGCGCCTGCGCGACTCACGAGCGAAGTCATCGAAATCGCATCCGAGACTAGCAATGATTCCGATGTGGTTATCCGAGAACCAACCCCGCCGGTTACCGTGGATCTTGCCTGCACAACTTCGTCCAGTGATGATAATATCCCTCTTAAAGATATTTCTACAAATCAACAACAGCAAGATTCCAGTATAAATCAACCGTCGAATGTTCATCCGAAGCGCAGTCGCATGAATTCAAGCATCAAACGGCGTCATGATATTTATTTAAGCAGTTCAGAGTCGGATGTTGATGGTTTCATGGAAGATGCACGGCGTGTGATGTCCAGAAAGCGTTCTTTGCTTCTGAAAGCACGAGAAGCGCGTATGTTGAGTCAGGCGGACGATGGCAGCAGTTCGGATGAGATGGAACCTCGCGCGAAACGCAAGAAATTGCGTAAGAAGAAGCACTATCGCAATAAACACGAACCAACGCCGCAGGATCAAATTGCGTCGACTTCGACTTCTACTGCTTCACCTGTCAATAATACCAGCATTAAAAACGAGAATGAGAATGATCATGATACGCATTCTGCCAGCGCGCACGAGTTATACCAAAGGACTGGCTTGGGTGTTTCGAATCTGAATTTAAATATGAACTCGTGGTTTCCCGATTATGGTGAGCACCATCACAGTGACATGGGTCCCGTTCATCTTCCGAAAGTGCATCCGTCGTCGATGTATTATAATGATGTAAAGTATGCGGAGGCGCGGCGTACGGACGAGCCGGGCCCGAGTGGCATGAGTAGCGGTGTGCCGTTGTGGCAGCCGAAGCCATGCTCGGACTCTGATTAGTTTGTAAAACTAAATTCTATTTAATAATATGCGTTTTTGTTAGCATTATTGGGCCAAGATTCAAACTGATGTGGAGATGTATGACTACGTTCGTATGATTATGATTTTTGTTCCAACGAAACTATAAGTTTATAACTGATTCATTCACAGCCTAATAAAATGTTCCAAGTGAGACTTGAGTCAAGTTGACAGTTGAGAATAGGGACGATGTGAGGTTTTTATCGGAAATAACTAGTTATCGGCGCATCAATGCATTGAATTTGCATTTATTTATTACAAATGTAGTTGCGAGTGAAACTACGTGTGAAATAAAGAACCACAATTTAATGCTGAGGTGCATTTTTATCGAAATCTTATTAAATGTGTATAAATTGGTCAAAATTTGTGCGTGTTTTATGAAATTTTACATCTGTGGACATGTTTACGGCTTTATTTCACTGTTTATGTTGTGAAATATTATTTAAATGTCCTTTTTTGCGGGTTTTAGCACGATTTGTATTGTTTTTCACACATCATAAGTGCAGAGTTATAATTTATTTATAATTTTTGACATGTTTCGCCTTATTGATATTTGAAATTGTTGAAAACAATGGAAGCAAAGACAAGCAACAATCATGTTTGATACTTGGGGGACATTTCCTTTTACTGTTGAAAAACAGTTAAAATGCAAATGTGGCAAAACATGCCAAAAATTCTAAATAAATTGTAATACTATCCACATAACAAAAATAAACATATCAAAATATTAGGCAACCGAATATACACAAAATAATATACCATATAACATGACTACATTAATATTTTTAAAATTAAACAAAAATTATTACAAAGACTTCAAAATTCAACAAACATTGCATAACAATTGAATACAAAATAGTATATCTTGGAAAAGTTTAGTTATTATACCAAATTAGGGCCTCAAAACATCAAATCATTCAAGTTTAAACTACAGATTTTCATAACACCCTCTATAAAACATTATTGTTACTTCGAGGTTAGATTTATCAGCAGAAATACAGCAACTGCTTATGCGATTCTCATTTGTCATTGCTTAATAGGTCATGAGCTAGCAGCTAGTCTCGCTGGTGGGATTCGTCATTCGCCGTCACCACTAAAATAACACATCGCCGAAGTTGCGATAATTGAGCGAAACGCGCTTGCGAGCCATCCCGTTGCAGTGCATCCGCGCGAACGAGAGCTGCACACGCAGGTGGTTCGCGCAAAACACCTAACGTAACGTCATTCGCGGACGTGCGGCCAACAAAAGTGCAAAACAATCGCATTACTCAGTGCGCCCGACGGCCCAACGCCTCGATAAACAATATTGAATCAACAGGAGCAAATACAACCAGCAATCATGGTTGATAGACTTGGTGAGCATTTCCTTTGTAACTGGGCTCAAGTCATGCCAGAAATCCTACACCTGTTGGTAATAATCATGATTTGTGTACTAATTTGATTCGTTTTGTGGTCTAGTTAACAGTGAGGCAAATACTCGAAGGATAACTATGGTGGAAAATTGTTTTGGCAGTTCAGGACAGGTAAAAATAACTAATTCTGCACATGTAAAGATTACACTACATGTTTGAGCAAGAAATTTGTAAAAATAGTATTTAAACAACAAAATGGCGACTTTTAAAGGACTACTTTGGTTAAGTTTGATGTTTTTGTGCAGAAAACAAACGAAAAAAACAAAATGGAGTCTTTTAGAAGTTAAAATTTCATTTTTTTACAGTTTTCTGCTTTAATTTAACAAAGTTCTTATTTTAACTTTGTAGCCTCTTGGAGTACCAGGAAGAGTGTTAGTCGGTGAAGGAGTGCTAACGAAAATGTGCCGAAAGAAACCCAAAGCTCGTCAATTCTTCCTCTTCAACGATATCCTCGTCTACGGCAATATAGTCATCAACAAAAAGAAATACAACAAACAACATATTATCCCACTCGAAGAAGTGAAACTAGAAAGCTTGGATGACGATGGTCGTATGTTTAATCACACACCTTCCATATAACTTAATTTATAAACTAAATTTACTTTCAACTTTGTAGAATATCATAATGGTTGGTTGATAAGAACTGCCTCGAAATCTTTCGCCGTCTACGCAGCGACTCAGGCGGAGAAGAAGGAGTGGATGGCACATATTAATAAATGTATCGAAGAGTTACTGAGGAAGAGCGGTAAGAAAGCAGTGGCTGAACACGCGGCTGTCTGGGTGCCCGATGGAGACGCGACCACGTGTATGCACTGTAAGCGATCGCAGTTCACGCTGATTAACCGAAGGCATCACTGCCGTAAGTGCGGCGCTGTCGTGTGCGGGCCGTGCTCGAACAAGCGCTTCTTACTGCCCAGTCAAAGTTCAAAGCCGCTGCGCGTGTGTCTGCATTGCTACGAACTGCTGACGTCCACTCACAGTGGGAATGATATTAGGGGAAATGCGGATACTTCAGGCGAAGAGGATACCGATGATGAGGATGATGGGCAGAAACCAAATATGGCGCATGATTTGGTGAGTTATGTGTATTATTATTGAGTATAGCTAGTGGGAATCGTAAGTTTACTAATAATTACTGCTTTTGAGGTGTTTTTGTTTGTTTTTAATGTTTTTTACATGCGGGGACTGAATTCTTACACGTGTTGGGTTTATGTTTCATTATTTTCATGAAATTTATCAACAGAATAATAGTCAACTTGTTAAACATTTGAAAACATTGTTAATGTGACAGAAGTAGGTGATTGACATTCATTAATTGCCTTTCTCTCCTATTTTAGAGTTGGTTTAAGCGGTTTTATCTAATAATAAGTACAGTTTTATTATCTGCGTCTTCAAATCGACAAAAAAGTCATATTTTTATTTGGTTTTTGTACAAATTTTCAAATTCATCTTAGGCAACCATTTTGACATCAAAATTTACTTAAAAACAATTTAAACTATTACAAAACAAGTCAAACAGTATCTCTGGCTGCTAAACTTTAATGTTTTCCTAGTTTTTTCATAAAATTTTAACTTTTATTCTTCAGTTTTGACGTAATTTTCACGTTATCTATAAATAAACTCTTGCTTTCGTCTTTCGTCATTCTCCAAAAGTCCTTGAGAGTTGCACACTAAGGAATTCAGTGAAATCTGATTCATTTATATTGGAATATTTAAATGTGTTGGTCAAAATTATCATCCTTTGATGATTCATGACAATGCACGGCTCTCATTATATATGCGCACACATTTTATTCATAGTCTTATCACTTCAAACAGTACTCAAAACGCAGTCTGACGCATTTTTTGCAGTTTATGTCATTGTTCAACTCCCGCAATACTATCACACAACTAAAATAACTTACAAAACTTATATAATACAATAAATTTGTTTCTCTGTTTCAGCCAAAATTCTACGGAGACGATAAGAATGAATAATCTCGGTGGGTTGTTGCGTTTTTCGGTTTATTTTTATTCAACGGGGCAACAAGTCAATCAAAATGATTCTATTTCTGTTTTAATTCAAACATTTACTCAATAATTAATTTAATTTAAGTTACTCGGTTAAAGTGTCTGCATTTCTTTAGATAAAAATGGAAAAATTACTCTCGAAAGTCACATAAAGTTGCGCCGTCTGATACTGTTATTATTTTAATGGTAATAGGGCTATTCTGAGGTGGAAGCAGGATGCATCTTGAGATTGTACTTAGAATGCTCTATCACATAACGATTCGTAACAACGCAACGTCTGCTCGGCTTCTAAATAAAGTAACAATAAACTATGTTAATCGTCGTAATAAAATGCGAATGCGTCAGCTGACGGAATCAAAATCGGAGTTGTTTTAACATATTGGCCAAATATTTATTTATTTTTATGGTTGGTTCGATGAAGGTGCGTACTTGTATCCGAAATTGATGGAAAGTCTAATGAAGTTGATAGTATGTTATTTGTATTTACACATTATACAATAATTTAATGTTCATTATGTTTCCTAATGTTTAATCACGCAATTATAAATAAATAGATAATAGATTTATATATTTTATAACACAATTGGTGGGTTTATCAATATTTTATCAAAATAATCTTTTATTTGACATTTTACTTACAAAATGTGACTGTACACTACTGATTCTTTTGCGCTAGCTTGCTTGATATTTCAACAAAGTGTTAGTGTGTTATTTTTGGGATAAACGCGTTAAATTTTAAATTTGTTTACATTTTAATTTAAGTTTTATAAATATTTGCATTTGCTGTATACCTGTAAATCTGGTTGCCTATCTGTTGCTTACTTGACGTTTAATAACTAGTGGTCGTGTTCACTCTCACCACTTAGTTTCACTTGTTTACTATATTGATGTGCACTTGTTTGCTACGTGTTTTATGGATTTCAAGTAACTAACAATTAAGCAATGACTGACAAAGATTATGCGCCCTTAAGCGCAGCTTGCGTGCGTGCCCTGCACGATAAACTCTATGATAAACGAAAGTTAGCCGCCCTAGAAATCGAAAAGTAAGGTTACTTATTATAGAATACTAATAACTAATGTTAATTTTCTACGTATTATGTTACAGAATGGTGAAGGAATTCCACCAGTTCAATAATACAATGCAAATTAATCGGCTGCTCAAAGTTCTGGGTCAGGATTTTGCTGCGTCTGCGAATCCTCATGCAAAAAAGGGAGGATTGATTGGTCTTGCTGCTGTATCAATTGCTCTGGGCAAGGTAAACAATTAATATTCTAGTTAAAATTGTTTAAAAATACTTTGATAATATTGCTTAGATTATTTGTAAAGTGGTTTATTTATAATATCACTTATTTACTTTTTTAAACATAACATTTAAAGGAAAATCATTAATTTTAGGAATCTAGTCAATATATTGAAGATCTTATAAAGCCAATACTTGCCTGCTTCTCTGACGCGGATCTACGTGTACGTTATTACGCTTGTGAGAGTCTCTACAATGTAATTAAAGTAGCCAGAGGCTCAGTTCTGCCTTACTTATCAGTCATTTTCAAAAAATTAAGTATAATAGCAACAGATCCCGAGCAAAGCGTGAAAAACGCATCGGAATTACTCGATAGACTCATGAAAGATATCGTGACGGAGAGTTGTGCATTCGATCTGGAAGGATTCATGCCTTGTATTAGAGAGAAACTCTACGCGAAGAGCCACACGACATTCTCACGACAATTCATTATTTCATGGATTTCTGTTTTGGATGCAGTGCCTGACATTGATTTGATTGTATATCTACCTGAATTGTTAGATGGATTGTTTACTATCTTGGATGATCCGAATCAAGAGGTTCAGAAGATGTGTGAGACTGTTTTGGGAGAGTTTATGAGGAATATTAAGAGTGATCCGAGTCGCGCGGACTTTGCGAGCATGATTAATATATTGATTATTCATGCACAAGAAAAAGGAGATTATTCTGTACAGGTAATGGTGTAAAATGTTTGTTTGCATGTTTACACACTGTATTTTTTGATAAAACTCATAAAACGCAGCCAATCAGCGCGTAGCAAGCACGTTTGGTTGCATTATTTGAAATTCTCGTACTATTAATTCTTTTAGTTCACCGCAATAACATGGATAAAAGAATTCGTTCAACTCTCCGGCCCCTTGATGTTACCATACATGTCCGGCATTTTCAAGGCGGTTCTACCTTGTTTGTCTTACGATTCGGACGCACGGAGAAGTATCCTTACTTTTTATAATTTTTTTCCTAACTTACATTATGTTAATTTTATTTACTACGCATACTAACCAACTTTTAGCTTTAATTTCGGTCGAAATCACGTAAACTTACATAAATTTGTCCTTACAAACTAGTGACAGATATAAAGGAAACCGCCACCGCTGTGAATTTCACCCTGATGAAACTCATAACACTGAAAGACGAACAGAACGACGGACGACACGCATCGCAAGATGGCGTCGTATGCAAACTCGACTTGGAGAAAGTCCTCGACGTATTGACACAGTATTTATCCTACAATTCGGTTCAGACGAAAGTCGCAGTCTTGCGATGGATTCATCATCTCTACACTAATCTGGAGGAAGAAATGGATAGTCATGTGATTGATTTATTGTTTCCTGCATTGACGAGAACATTGTCGGATTCGGCGGATGAAGTTGTCCAGCAGTGTTTGATTGTTATCGCTGATATTATTAAAATTAAAGGTAAGAAATTAAATTCAAATTAAAAATAAAATTTAAACTAATAATATTAAATATTAAAGAATCTGATAAAACCGGAGAAGTAACATACTCGAACATAGCAAATTCTAACGTTTACGCAAGTCAATTCCTGCGAGATTTGGCGAGGACATTCAAATATGACAAAACTCTGCTTGAAGAACGCGGTTCTTTTATTATCAGACAATTATGTGTGCTGCACAATGCTGAATTCATCTACTGGCAACTTTCGCAAATCATTTGCGATGAAGAAAACTTGAAATTTACAAGTTTGATGGTGGAACATTTGAATATGATTCTAATGACATCGTCGGAGTTGTATGAAATGCGGAATAAGCTTAAGAATCTGAACGATCGAATGAGTCGCAGTCTATTTGAGAGTTTATATGAGTTATGGTGTCATAATCCAGTCGCGACGATATCGTTCTGTCTGCTCGCACAGTGTTACAACCATGTTTGTGATCTTATCAAACAATTGTATCCTTTTCTTGCTTTTTATTGATGTTTATGTTTATGAAAATATTTTTTGTGATTTTTCTTAACTTTTTCGTTAATTATCAGGGGAAATATGGATATCACAGTTAGTAATTTGACTGCCATTGATAAATTAGTTCAGTTGCTGGAATCTCCAATTTTTGCTTGTGAGTAAATTTAATATTTAATGAATTTTGGTGTAAAAAATGTGATTTTTTAGATTTACGACTTGAATTATTGGATGTGCCGTGTGATCGTAATCTGGTGCGAGCATTGTATGGATTGTTAATGCTCCTGCCACAAACCGACGCTTTTCATACGCTGAGGACGAGGCTGAGTTGCATTCCAAGTTTGCATTTACATTGTGATAATCAGTAAGTCAATTTTTATAAATTTCTTTATATTCAGTGTAGATATAGGCAACTAGATATACATATCGTCCATTTTTGACATTTTCAGAAGTCAAACTGAAATCAGATCAGTCCCGACGCGAATGTCCGACATAAACTTCGAGAAATTACTAAAACAATTTATCGAGACGCAGCAACGTCACGAATTGTACAAAAAAGCGCAACGTGCCAAAGAAATCGTAGCCTTAGACAAGGAGATGAGTAATTCAGAGGTTTAACAGATAGTATTTAAAAATACAGTAATTATCAAGTTGTTAAAAACTTACGACACTCATCAAAAGTTGATTTATACAAATTGCAAATTTATTTACTTTTGTTGTACAGTTAAACAAATGAAATGCATTTGTATGAAACGAACGCTTAAAAAAGTGTAGAAAGAACCCAGTATCAAACGTTCACTTCAAAATGACGTTCGCAGTCCGTAGAAAACAGCAGCAAAGCAGCAATATGTTAAAGTATTCCACTCATCATTCACTCAGTGACCATCGGCTCAGCTGGTATCTCCGTCAAATCAAGAAGTCGTGGGCCATAGAGTAAAACATACGCACAGTGCCAATCTCCACCACCGGAGAGCTTCAGAATTTCCTCGGTGGTAACCGGCGATACAGTGTCATCATCACACTTAATCCACGTCTCATCAGATTGTTTAATCCAGCCGACGTAGTGACCACTTGAAGATGATCTGCCTCGATGAGTGAGTACTGCTTGAAGGGTGTAGTAACCACTGTTGCTACTTCCTAAGTCTTCAGCATTTACAAGAAAATATGCAATTGGTAAGTTTAAATTTACTTTTTATAAGTTTTTGTTTTCATACCATCTTCAAAGTGATAGGGGGCGTATTTGATGTCCTTGCCATCTCCTTTATTCTTAAGGGGTTTCTTTCCTAATGCGGCTGCTTGTTCCACCAACGCATCCTCGCGTTCTTTGAATTTTGCACGCATGGGCGCGAGTTTTTCCTGTAGTTCAGTGGAACACAATTCGAACGCGTCGAAATCCATGGGAAATTTTACATCTTTTAGAATTTTCGCGTTGATTGCTTCCTTTTCTTTGTAGTAGAATCGTACGAATTGGATTGTTAAATATGCAGGCAATCGGCTAACTTTAGACTAATCAAAATTTATTAATTAGAAATTAATCTTTTCATGTTTTTAATAGAAAACTTACTGTTTTTGTATACACAGCGTCCCGTTCTAAAGTCTGCGACATTTTAGTGATTTGCTCTTGCATTTTCTAAACAAAAAACATAATTAAACAATTATTATTTAAGAAAATATAAAAATACTTACAGAACGCAACCCAGAATGCATATATCTAACATCCTGTGATATGAAGCAGCTTAATTGTAAAAATTGCTCGGTACTTTTCGTTATCGGCTCATCCTCTGACTCCACACACTTCCATTCCACATCAAAAGTCCCACCAAAGTATTGATCAATCAAAGATCTTAAAATTTTAAATTAATTTAGAATATTTTCCTATTTTCAAAAATTAATTTTCTTACTTATATCCACTCCCTGCAGCGATTTCTACCTCTGTGTTAACCTTAGCCGGTAATTTCTGCTGAAGCATCCTGACCATCTCAGTCCAACACTCATTGGCATCCTGCTGTGCATACCCTCCATGTTCGGACTTTTCTGCAAACCTAGGCAACGCCATATGCAGCACTTGCAGTAAAATGATTGGTGGGACAGTTTGACCTTTATCCATACTGATATACAAATCCCTAAGAGCTGCTGTGATTGAATGTGCTGGCACAACTCCACTTGCTCCAGCCACAGCCCCTGGGAACTTGATCAAACTTTCCCTCAACTCTGGAACTGTCCTTAGGCATTGCACAGTTGCATTCATGTAACATGTGTTGCCTAGATTGGTTAATCCTGCTGGTAATTCCAACTGAAATATTAATTTTGATGAAGTTTGTCAGATTATTAAATAATTTTGAGGATTTTTAAACTTACAGCAGTTGCTAGTTCACTATCATTCATATCCTCAACAAAAACTGTCTTTTCAACAGGTTCCTTAGGAATTTCTTCCTCTTTGCTACCCATGAGCAGCACTGGCATACCATCTCTCAATTTAAAGTTATCCCAATCATTGTCTTTGAGAGTAACACCTTTAACCATCACTTTTTGCCTTTCTGGCTGGACACCAGTCAAAGCAAATATTTGTGCTTTGAACAACATCGGCGGCTCGTCTGTATTCACTTCTACGTCGCTGTAGGTTTCCTTGCCCCATTTTACTTTCACTGTAAATGAACATCGTGATTAAGCATAAACTTCTTTGCAGTTTGCTGAAGCGGCAAACATGAGGTTAAGTCGGCAAGTTGAACATTTCGCACTCACCTTTGAAGTTGGGCATGTTGTGTAGTTTGTTTAAATCTATGTAATTCGGAAGGGCGACAGTAAAACTTTAATAACTAGTTTTTGTAAATTATACGCGACAGATGCGCGTTTTTCGAACAAACACAATATTAAAAGTCACTCACGGCGGCCCGATGCAACGGTTAATGTTGCGGTCGCTGTTTCCCACTCAGGCAATCTTTTCACTTGCACTTCACTCGTTTTGCTCGTCATTCAGTGTCAAAAGATGTCAAAATTTTGACTTAAATGTCAAATAATGTCAAAAAGTTTACTTATAACCAAGGGAATCACATGTTATATTGTTTAAAACCGGGTATAGTAAACAAATAATAACAGATAATTATGATACAATCACCAAAATCTGCAACACCCTCACCTCAAACGCCAAATAAACAACTCAGTCGTTTTAGTCCAATAATATGTGAGTCAATTTTTATCACACCTTTAAAAAAATAATTTATTTTATTAAATAACCTTTCAGTGCCTACAAGTCCAGCTGAACTTGTAAATCAAAGGAATATAACAGGTCAGCCTAGAGTTGTAAGAGATATAATTGCAGATTTATACAACAATATTCAGAAATGGAACATCAAACATGTCACAGGGGCTGCAATTGTTCAACAAATTACAATTATAAAGAGTCAGGGAGCAGAACAATTACCATCAGGCTTAGAATCACTTGTAACACAACTGTATGAAGTTGTGCAATGCTTGAAAACATGTTGTAATGCATTAACTTTCTCAAGAAATCAAATAACATCTTTAGGAAGCTGCAAAAAGACTGTGAACCTATGTTTATAACATTAACAATAGAGCAAATGGCTAATCTTTTAAATGAAATTGTGGATGCTTATGAAGAAGAGTTAAAGGTAATGAAAATGGTGGTATGTGGATTGATTATTAAGTTTTGTTTTATTTTATAGGCTAAGGAATTTATCCTTGAAAATATTGCTTACTCTAGAACAAAACAAGAAGTTATGTTCTTTTCTGCCAACTGGGTACATCAAATCAATATTAAACCTGAAATTAATTTCAAGTTAGAACAATTGTTAACGGAGACGGGTCACAGAAGGATAATTTAATAAAGGTATTTCTTTGGAATTATTTTCTCAAATTTCAAGGTCAGAAATTGTTGCTTTGGGTCTTTTTAAATTGTAATTATCGTGAGTATTTAGTGGGAAACTTTTTGTTGTGTATTCGTTTTGAAAGTCAAAAAGGTCATGTGTACTGTGGGTTGCATTCTTCAGGCGTTAGATTTTCAAACATTTTAGAATAATTCAAAACGATTTCCTTTTATAATGCGATTTCGGATAGATTCCTATTCACAAAATATCTTATTGTCGATGTCACAACATATCCTTTTTCAACTTCTCCAGATTTTTGTTAAGTCAACTAGAGCCGCCTGCAAGTATTATCCTGAAACTTGACCAACCCAATACTCTTTAACATGTGTAGCAAAACTCCTTTCCAGCAGCCCGCGAGTTCACCCACACTGCCGCAATCCCGCTCGTATTGTTTACCCCGCCGCCGTCGCCAGTGCGCTCCGCATACCGCAGCACGGTGCAGGCGCTCTCCGCGACAATGCACCCCCGATAAATAATCCGCGTCGCAGCGCAGGATAATAAACGCGAGATGTAAGGTTAGGTGCGCGCCAGCAATCGAAGCAGGAGAAAGTGCCCGCTCGCTGCGTCGAAACAACCCCGCGCGACAGGAAATCCGGCCGTCGTCGCGTCTCAGATGTCGATTGCGCACAATGGCAACAAACAACGAGATCATCCTGCGGCCGGAGAACGCGCCGATTGCCAAGAAGCAGCTCATCAATTTGTTTCCCAAGCAGGTTGAGTGCTCGTACGTCTCCTGCTACTGGTAAGCGAACGCAAAACACACAAATCCCAGTCAACGTCGCGCATGTTATGCAGGATTCGTAATGAAGGCGTAATATTTCAACCGCGCACACAGTTTGCATGCGCTGTCGGATTTTTCGCTGCCAGTTGATATATTTATTTATTTAATTATCGTGAGACATGTGAATTCCTCGGTGACTTGTCAGAGCATGCTGAGCAGTCGAGCGTTTTAGGCCTGGTCTCGTGTTTAATTAGATTGAGATTTTAATTACTGCGGTAATTACAACTGTTGATACACTCCCTCGGCATTTTTGTAGGTCAGTTGGTAACTCGGCTGCGGCATTTCGGTTTCACCCTGGTAAAAATTTATTGTTTGCAAGTAATTATTTTATAAATTAATAAAAAGGGTAAACAAAAAGTTTATCCTCAAACAAATCATAAAATTTTATAAATAATGGAAAAAAGGATCAATGTATGGTTAGAAAATCCTTTGTTTTCACTTATAACTGAACAAAACAATCCACAAATCAAATTGTTTCGTGTTATGATCAACAGCAAACGGTTTATTTTTAGTGATTTATGTTTTGTTCAATTTGTAAATTGTATTCTTTATTATTTCTCTTTTGTTTTTCATGATAAAATATTTAATACCCCCGCTCGCGCACAGCATAAATCAATAGGCGACAAATGAAATGAAAAAAAGTATAAACACATAACAAGAATAATCATAACACATTAAAATATTAACGCGTTCCATGATTCCCATTAGCGGTGAATGTCACGCCGTACTCGTGATTCCGGTGCGTTGTACGTATTTTTACAAGGCGAAAAAAAAAATTAGCTCGCGAGTTATGTGTGACATACATATTTCATGCGCGCTTGTCCGGGCCCGGAGCCGTGCATAGGTGAATACATGCATGAATTAATTTTTAATTTCCATTTAAAGCAAGTCGTCGGACAGACGACGGTGGCGGCTGTGGACGCGTGGCGAAGGCGGCGGGCCAATGCGCGTTCACGGGTGTCGTGCGTCGCGTTTTTAAAACCGCGACGAAATAATGTAATAGATTTCGGGCATGCCACACACAGTAGCGCCACATCGTCGAACGCGTGTGGCCGGCAGTGGCAAATTCGCATATTTCGCGAGCGCACGCACTCAAATTTCGACTTTTAACTGCGTAGTGTACCCGTTGAAGACGTGAACTTATTTTGTATTTGCTCGGTAATTTGAGTGTTGAGTGGTTGCAAAATGGAACGCTTGGCGATTTTTTCCCGTGAAACGTTAGTGTTTTGATTTGCGTTTTGCGTTTTGTGTTGTGATTGATTTTCGTAATGATTGAGGGTTTGTTTTCAGCGAGGAGAATGTTTACAAACTGTGCCAGGACGTGGTTGCGCGGCATTACAATGAAATACACAAGTGCTACGCGGTTTTCGTGTCGAATCCCAAGAGGACTGTGCCTTTATGGCGACAACGCGCTGGAAAAGATGATGATAAGCTAGTCATTTGGGTAAGAAGCACATTAACTATAATTATTTTAATTAAATAGAGCGTTGATATTTAAATAAAATTACAAATCATGTTCGACATGTCCAAAAATTTAAGTTTGGTCTTGACTACTTTCACTAAACTACATTTTTTTCTAAGCAAATTAATGTGAAATCTGGTACATATTACAAAATCATTACAATATTTATTTATACAGGTTTGCGGAATGAGACGTAATTATCACGTAATTGTTTACTTGCTTTAGGATTATCATGTCATATTCCTCTATCAAGCCGAACCGGATAAGTGTTTGGTTTACGATCTCGACTCGGAATTACCGTTTCCCACCTATGTGCACAAGTACATCACCGAGACATTCCGAACGGATAACATCCTGAAGCCTGATTACTTTAGGTGAGTTGTCAAGTGCTTTATCAATTTATTCGTTTTTTCATTGTTTTATCAATCTGTTTGTTTAGATATTTTCGTGTGATACCTGCGACGGAATTCCTCAACGAATTTGCTTCTGATCGGCGGCATATGAAGCGAAACGATGGCACTTGGATTAAACCCCCACCGAATTATCCTGCGATACGAAGCACAAGTAAGAAAATATTCAGGATTAATGCGTAGTGGAGTTTGATTTAATATTTTTGCTAAATTATTGCAGCGAGTACACACAATTTAGAAGACTACATCCAGATGGATGTAACCAAAGGTCCTGGTGAAGTCTTCAGCCTGACGCAGTTTGTGCAGCGCTTCTACAAGCCGGCGACTTAGTCGCCACGCTACGACGATGGCACCGTCCGTGGCGTCCGCGGCATGTCGAGTTTTAAGCGAAATTACTTCATCTAATTTTTACGCGCGCCTCTGCTGTTTGGTCGACGGGCAAACGTTCTTTTTTTGCTGCCGCATTTCGACAAACTAAAAACCAATACAATAACTAATTACCAAGCGAATTTCGGGCATTTGGTCGTGTTGGGTCGCGCGTAAGCGATTTCTAAATTTCAAATTCGTAAATTAAGCATGCGATTTCAATGTCTATAACTACGAATATCGATAGTACCTTTCTCTTCTCTTCTTCTTGTTATCTTCTCTATCAGCTTCACGACTATTTACGACTTAAAAAATACAAATTCTCATACATATGTGGATAAAACATAAAAACAAAGTTTTAAAAATCTAAAACTTATCATTTTACAATGTTATTTGTGCGTTTAGTGTCTTTGAATTGAGATTTTTGGATGTAATTCGATTTGAAAATTCGAAAAATGTTTTGATATTTAAAATTTTACGATTTGGCTGTTGTCTATACACTGAAAACAAAAAGCGAATCAATTATGCGCCCATTGAAGGCCCTCGCAATTAACTTAAACTCAATATGCACAATTATATCGATCTACTAAGACGTTTTTAAACCTATATATTGGAGGCGCCGTCTTATTGACGCTGTACGCGCTCTCCAATCACATGTTATCTTGTACTTTTATCTCGTTCACTCTTAAGAATGTTGATAAACGAAGCGAGATCGTTTCGTCTAGGTAGATAATTGTATATTTGCAAAACTTTTTGGGAAATCAATATATTGAACGTTATTGTGTGCTGTTGTCGGTTATCTAGCTACTAATTCAAGTTAAAGTTTTATTCGATGCGTTCAAACGAGCACAGTATTTGAAAACGAATGTTAATTGCAGTTGTGAAGTTTGCGGATGTGATGAGCCGAATGAAAACGGATTATTTTCGAATACTTTTTAAGACTGCACGTTATGCCTTCCAAGACAAAATTTCTTCTTATACAGAACTTATAACGATCTAAGGACACGAGGCGACAAATATATTTAAATCGACAAATTTTGTGAAATTTTTATCATGCGCGCGCTCGTTGTACACGCGGGCCGCGTTTTTTACAAGTGGAATATTTATTGATCTATATTCATTGTAGTTTGCAGTCGGCATACATAGATTTTTTATTACGTGTAGCTTTAATTAACATGAACAAAACTGAAAACATAGCAATTTGCAAATAATGAGAAAACGTGGGGCCTAAGTCGATTTGCGTAGTTTGTTTTTACGATGACAAGTAATACTAGATAGCGTCGAATTTATAAAATTACAATGTAAAATTACCTACACGATATGGTTATGCGTCTGCATACTGTGGCAACTTTTTGTATTTTTGCTTATAATGAAATTATTGTATTACGGTTTTCAATAAAGTGATCGCATTGTCTGTTTGCAAATTAACCGTGACTTTAAATGGTTGGTTCTATTGTATGAACTCCACCCATCGCTTTATGATAAAATTAACGGAATGAATGTAATATTTCTAATTTATTTGGCCGTGAATAAATCAATGAATCTATCAATAATTCTCTAAATCAAGCCAAGGTGGCGCTAGAATGCACATGTTTGCATTAAATTCTAAGCGCACTTATCGCTGCCAGTTGTTGGTTGGTAGTAGTGAGTGTGCATGGCCTTAAAAGGAAAGGTGTTGTGTCCGTGTGAGATCGCGCGATTTGGTGCAGCAGGTTTTGTTCTTATCTGTTACATTTATTTGTTTACGTCCGTGAGACCGTGTTCTGTCGGAACTCGCACGCTGCATATCGCATGTGTCTACGCGCGCTGTCTCCTCGCGCCGCATCTACTTGCTTGCATGCAGCGTAAGTCTAGTTTTGTTTTGATCGCCTATTGCAATTCGTGCACAATGTCGCGTGCCGTCGACGCGCCGGCTTTGCGCACCTCTTGCTTTCTTATCATATACTGATCCGTTGTTGTTTACGCATTTTCGGCATACACTATTGGTGTATTGCAGACAGTTTCGTGCCGGTCACTGGTTAATCCAATCGTGTTTTGAAAGACTTACATCGTTTATTCGGACTTCAATATTCTAAATTTGTGTTATACTCGAAGATCAATCGACTATTTGTACTTTGCGACTATAGTAATTTGAATAATGTTCGGAAATGCCGGTTTTAATCGCGTTTGTTATGTATATTATAAGTCACGTGATAGTGGATTTGATAACATTTTCACTCAGCGTTGTGTTTGGTGTTGGGTAATAAATTAATCGGATACCTATATATCGTCCCCATGTTGAATCTCATCATTAAGAAAGATCCAACAGGCTCGTGTAAGTATCTTTTAACTAAACAGCACAGATTGTTTATTTTGTGTTGATTGTTAATTATAACATAATTCAATTGAATAAAATATTTTTGTTTTAATTTATATTTTCGTTTAGTTACAGCACTTGTTGTGCCTGGCGGTCCGATAAGCTGTACGAGTACACTGGTAAGTTTATAATTCAATTATATTTTTGGTCAAATTTACATTTGCTGTTTATAAACAAGTTTTCTATTAATCACGTACTACCTACCTGGTGTTCTGGGCACCGTACAAGGGCAGCAGCGGTAGAGAATTTTCCGTTGATTAAAACGATTCGTTCAATTATCGTCAAAAATTGAGAAATTGCAATTTTTAGCACTTTCAGTCGCGTCTTTAGACCTTTTACCCCATTAAATTAAATTATTTTAAATTTCCATCTGATAGAGAATTTTCCAATCTTCCATAATCTACAATTTTCGGACGTGTGAATATAATATTATTATATTGTATCATAGAGTATAAATTAAAGCAATATTGCGATTTGATAGGCATTATTAAATTGCTTATAATTGGTATTTTCATGCAATATCAACTTTGTTGCATATTTGATAAAATGTGTTTTGAATTTAAACTTGTCGTTGCTACATTGTCGGTTAGATGGCACTACGATGCACGTTTTCGCGTTAAATATTGCTTGTCGGTGGTAGTGAGTGCACACCGAGTCCGTGAGCGAACACGCGATTTCGTGCAAGAGATAAGTTTGTTTACCTGCAGATATCGAATCTATATTTGAGCCGCTTATTTTGAAAGTGGCCTAACTCCATTTATCTTCAAATCGAGATATTGAAAGTTTTGCGCTTCAATGAATTTAAAAATATAGGTAAAAGATACTAAGGAGTCATACTGCTTAAGCGTATCTAAGGATGTTAAATTTAAAGTTCCTGTTAAAATAGTGGCAATTATTAAGTAAATAACGTGCGTTTCCTTATCAAGAATGGAGTTGGGCCACTTTCAAAATTAACAGCCCGATTCATTATAAAATTTGAGGATGCCCAAGTCCATTCAACATAATTTAAGATGTTTCAAATTGAAAACAAAACGTTTTCGTTTCACAGACAGCTTCGTGAAGTAATACATTTTGTTTGTTAAAGTCTGCCAAACCCCTAAACTTCTCAAAAATATTCTTTCTTTCTTCTTCATTATAATTTTTGTGCACGCATTCCGACAACCACAATCTTTGTTTTCGAATTTTTTTCTTGAACAATACTTCCGGTTTGACTGCAATATCTTTTCCTGAATTCTGTTTAATCTTTCGCACTTTTTAGATATATGGTGCATCACTCTTTTCTGCATTGTTATTTGAATCTTCATCCTCTGACGAGGAATATTGTTCTATAATTCTTTTGTTATTCGCTTTTTTTAATTATTAATTACTATTTCTTCTTCACTATATGAACTAAGTGGTCTTCTTCTGTTCTTCCTCATGGGTGCAATAATTTCTATAATTTAATATTAAATTTTAAGTTTTATATTAATTAAACGTACAGGTTAATTAACCAACGCAATTGTCCCAAAAATAAGGTGAACTTGTAAATACTAATTAATTGAAATTACCTTCATCGCTGCTTTCCGACATTATCAATAGTAAATAGCTTGATGTAACTATAAATGGAGTTAGGCCACTTTCAAACTGCACGGGTCAGTTATTCAATTAATTCGGAAAACTTATGTGTAAAAATGTACCGTATTTTCTCTGAATATAAGCAATCTGAAGTGCGTCACTGATAAATAACATGAAGTTGTACATGTAACCATGGTAACCGGCAAAATTTAAAAAACGGAGTTAGGTCACTTTCAAAATAAACGGCTCATTTCTTGGAATAATCACATCTTGTAGTTTATATTGGCATCATAAATTTAAGCAAGTATTCATAAATCATGAGTATAACTAACAATTTTACATTAGGTGGAATAGTGTATTATAAAAATCATCATCAACAAAACATTTTTATTATCAACAGATGACTTAAGCAGATATCACTTAAATATTTGATGTTAAATCTGGCAGTCTGTCAGCATAAGAAATCATAATTACGCAAATCGAATTTTAATGTTTCAATTTTTTTAATGTTTTATCGTGGAAATTGGCTAATATCTGGGGAACTACCTATTTGCAATATTTGCACGTTTTCTTCTGATTCTGTTAATCAGAGAGTTAATCTTACGGATACGCTATTACCGCTCCCAGAAATCATGCGGGAAGTGCCGGGAAATTGCTCGGCAAATTTCAGTATTTTTCAATTTTTTTAATGTTTCATCGTGGAAATTGGCTCATACTTCAGGGACTATTTGCAATATTAGCACGTTCTCTTCTGATTCTGATAGGCAGAGAGTTAATTTTATAAATACGCTACCGCCGCGTCTAGAAATCATGCGGGAAGTACCGGAAAATCGCTCGGCAAATTTACTATTTTTCAATTTTTTAAATTTGTCATCGTGGAAATTGGCTCATATATTGGGAACTTCTGATTCTGATAGCGCGAGAGTTAATCTTAATTATACGCTATTGCCGCCGTTAGAGACCATACGGGAAGTACCTTAAAGTCGCTCTGCATATATCACCATTTTTCAATTTTTTTAAAGTTTTGTCTTGGAAAATAGGATTGGTAGCACGCACCCGCTCCACCCATCCGATTGCGTGTCTCTTTTTATCATTATATAAATTGTATTAGACCTATATACCTGAATGTTTCTTTTTCAATTCAACGCGTTTATCTATGTTTGTGCCTAAACAACTTTTTTATCGCTTTGTGACAGTTCCATGTTGCGTTCGTGCTGCGATCGTTCGAATATCAGTCTGCTCTTATTTGCACCCGGCTTGCCTCCTTTCTTTCATTTTAATTCAATTAATGCATTTTAACGTTAATTATCGACACAAATATCGGCATGTAATGGTACTAAACTATGTATTGTTTAGCACATAATGATTTATGCGTGAAACGATCATAAAACTCGAGTTTTCATTGTGCCTTAGTCAGTTAAAATATTACTTGTAATACAAGACTCTATTCGACGGGTAGACTCAATAAGTGAACTAACATACTCCATTTTTGCATATTTTAACATACGCTGCTCATTGCCAGACACTTGGTAGAAGTAGAAGTATACAACGGTAGAAGTGACTCGTATTCAGGGCAGCGGTATAAATGACTCGTGCTCAGGGTACCGTACGTGGATGAATGTAATAACTGACTCATTCGCCCATTCAATTGCGAATATCTCGTAAACTAAAAGTGATATTTAGGATCTGCAGCAGCGTCTTAGTCTACCGACTATTCTCTATAAGATAATGTTGTTTCGGAGTGGTTTATTAGAACACGCGTTCAACGTACAAGCAAATAAGTAACTAAATTTACAAATGCATTCTACATTCAATTGTTAATTCGTATATATCAGACGCACTCTTGATCGCGACTATCCTCGCACTCTTGATTGCGACTATCCCCGCACTCTTTTGTTTCTCTCGACGACAGCCGTCGGAACGGACGCTACGATCGTAGTCGGCGCGCTTCAACAGATAGGATAGTTAAAGCGGAAATCTGAGAGATGAAATTTTATTTCTTAAGAAAAAATGCCAATCGACGATTTTCGATAATTAATATCTCTTAAACTAACAGAGATAGCAACCAACGAATTGCTGATTATGAAAGATTGGAAAATTGTCTATCAGATAAAAATATAAAATAATTATATTTCCAACAGTAAAAGGTCAAAAAACGCCATTAAAAGTACTAAAAGTGACATTTTCAACTTTTTGCCCATTTTATTCAATCGCGAATATCTCGTAAACTAAAAGAGATAATTAAGATCTGATCGCAGCGTCTTAATCTACGGACTATTCTCTATAAGATAGGATAGTTAAAACGGAAATCTGAGAGATGAAATTTTAATTCTTAAGAAAAAATTGCCAAGGGGGTGCTTGATACTTTTTATCGACGATTTTCGATAATTAATATCTCTTAAACTAACAGAGATAGCAACCAACGAATTGCTGATTATGAAAGATTGGAAAATTGTCTATCAGATAAAAATATAAAGTAATTATATTTTCAACAGTAAATGGTCAAAAAACGCCCTTA